GCACACGAGAATACTTGTTATCGGTATGGTATGACAGGGCATTGGCAAAGTATTTGTCGTACACCTAAGCATCTGGCTGAACTTTACCAAGCCTTGATGAAAGAAAAGGGAAAACAAAATGAAATGAATTTCCTTGATCATGATGAGTCAGTTGACACCACAAATCTGGAAATAAATTTCATGAATCATGATGAGCCAGTTAACATCACAAATCTGGATGTATCAGATTTTTTTGAGGACCGTGATAAAAGGATAAACTTCCTGATTGGTGATGGAAATATCCACACAAATTAATCTTATTTTCTTTTCATATTCTGTCTACTATGTTTTTATTTTCCTTTTATTAAAGTTTTTATCCTCTAGTTTGTATTAAAGTTTATTTTGTTATAAAAGTTTCTTTTCTGATAAAGAAATTTACATGAATAGGAATAGATCTGACTAGTTCCAATATAAACGGAGAAGACATATGTCTTGCAGATAGTGGAACAACATATACAATCCTTCGAGATTAAAAATATTTTTCCTACTTAATTCTGTCAGACACCAGTGTCAGTACCATATCAGGTCCTACCGACTTTATTGAAGGCTCTGGACGAGTCAACATCATTTTACCACATGAAACAAGATTACAAATCAATGATGCCTTATATTCTACAAGATCTCGGAGAAATCTGTTGAGTTTTAAAGCCTTGCGTCGTAATGGATATCATATTGAGACCGCAAATGAAAGAAATGTGGAATATCTCTACATTACTTCCATTACCTCAGGCAAGAAGCTGATATTAGAAAAACTCCCTATTTTCTCTTCTGGGTTATACTATACAACCATTAGAACAATTGAGTCAAATGCTGTGATCCATAAAAAATCTTGTGACCTAAAACTTTTTATCCATAAAAAATCTTGTGAACCAAAACTTTTTATGCTTTGGCATGATCGACTTGGTCACCCAGGGAGTACAATGATGCGTCGAATTATTGAAAATTCACATGGTCATCCGCTAAAGGATCAAAAAATCATCTTACCAAATAATCATCTATGCACCGCTAACTCAAAGTTAGTAAATTATCAGACCATCCCCTTCAAAAGTCATTGTTGAGTCTCCCCCATTTTTGCAATGAATTCACGGGGATATATGTGGGCCAATTCATCCACCCTGTGGACCATTTCGCTATTTTATGGTCTTAATTGATGCCTCAACAAGATGGTCACATGTTTGTCTGCTTTCTACTCGTAATGTTGCATTTGCTAAATTTCTTGCTCAAATCTTCAAATTACGGGCACACTTTCCTGATTACCCAATTAAGACAATCCGTCTTGATAATGCCGCTGAATTTTCTTCTCAAGCTTTTGATGATTATTGCATGTCAGTTGGAATTAATGTTGAACACCCTGTTGCACACATTCATACTCAAAATGGTATGACCAAATCTTTTATTAAAATACTTCAATTAATTGGTCGTCTTTTGCTTATGCTAACAAAATTACCTGTCTCTGCCTGGGGTCATACCATATTGCATGCTACATCATTAGTTCGTATACGACCAACTGCTTATCATAAGTACTCACCATTGCAACTTGTTTTTGGTCAACAACCAAATATCTCCCACATACGAGTTTTTGGTTGTGCTGTATATGTTCTAATTGCATCACCCCAACGCACTAAAATGGGTCTTTAACGTAGACTTGGAATTTATGTTGGTTTTGATTCTCCATCTATGATTAGATATCTTGAACCCCTGACAGGTGATGTCTTTAAAGCACGATTTGCTGACTGTCATTTTGATGAGACTGTTTTCCCACCATTAGAGGGAGAATAGGCACAGCAGCAACGTGATTTTACTTGGAATGCCCTGGAATTGTCTCATTTTGATCCTCGTACAAACCAATGTGAACGAGAAGTTCAGAGAATCATTCACTTGCAAAATGTTGCAAATCAATTACCTGATGCATTTACTGATACAAAGAAAGTGATAAAATCACATATACCAGCTACAAATGTGTCAGCACGAATTACTGTCCCTGAGGGACCTTTTGTCAGTAATGTAGCAAATGCATCTAAAACACGCCTGAAGCGTGGTAGACCAGTTGGCGCAAAAGATACCGCTCCTCGTAAGAGGAAATCACAAAGAAAAGCGGGCACTCTTGAAGAGGCCACAAAAGGAGCAACAGATATTATTGATTAATTTGAAACAATAGCCCTTGATAAGGTAGTGCTCTTGATGAGTTTCAGGTACCTAAACATGATGAAATAATATATATTGATGAGGTAAAGGCAACAGATGATGATGTGACCCTTGATGAGGCACATGCCCTTGATGAGGCAAAGGTACCTAAAAATGATGAGATCTCATTAAATTATGAAACGAGATGGAATAGAAATGAAGTTGTTGTCGACAACATATTCTCATATCTCGTTGTTCTTGATATTGATAATGAGGATCCGGAACCTCAAAACGTCGAAGAATGTTGACAAAGAAATGATTGGCCAAAATGGAAAGAAGCAATACAAGCAGAGCTAAATTCATTAGCTAAACGTGAAGTATTTGGACCAATAGTCCAAACACTTGAGGGTGTTAATCCTGTTGGGTACAAATGTGTGTTTGTACGAAAAAGTAATGAGAAAAATGAAATTGTGAGATACAAAACTCGACTAGTAGCTCAAGGTTTCTCACAGAGACCTGGTATTGAGTATAAGGAAACATACTCTCCTGTGATTGATGCACCTACTTTTAGATTCATAATACATTTGGCAGTCACAGAAAGATTGCATATGCATCTAATGGACGTGATTACAACATATTTATATGGATCACTAGATAGTGATATTTATATGAAAATTCCAGAAGGATTTAAAGTGTCTGAAACAAAACCACGTAATATGTACTCGATAAAATTACAACGATCCTTGTATGGATTGAAGCAATCTGAACGAATGTGGTATAATCGCCTTAGCGATTACTTACTCAAAGAAGGGTATGTAAACAGTCATATTTGTCCATGCATTTTTATTAACAAATCAGAATCTGGTTTTGTTATTGTTGCAGCATATGTTGATGATTTGAATCTTGTGGGAACATTAGATGAGATCGAAAAGACAGCCACTTATTTAAAGAAAGAATTCGAAATGAAAGATCTCGGAAAGACGAAATTCTGCCTTGAGTTGCAGGTTGAACATTTTTCGAGCGGTATTCTCATCCATCAATCAACATATATAGAAAAGATTCTGAAACGTTTTCATATGGATAAAGCCTATCCATTGAGCTCTCCAATGGTTGTCCGATCACTTGACATCAAGAAAGATCATTTTCGTCCTCGAGAGGATGATGAAGAACTCCTTGGTTCTGAAGTGCCCTATCTCAGTGCAATTGGTGCTCTTTTGTATCTTGCAAATTGCACAAGACCTGACATAATTTTTTCAGTCAATTTATTAGCAAGGTACAGTTCTGCACCAACTCGCAGACATTGGAATGGAATCAAACACATATTGCGATATTTTCGTGGTGCAACTGATATAGAATTATTTTATTCAAAAGCATCAAATTCTCAATTAAGTGGATATGCAGATGCCGGCTATCTCTCTGACCCACATAAAGCCTATTCACAAACAAGATATGTGTTTATTTGTGGCGGCACAGCTATATCATGGCGATCTATAAAACAGACAATGATTGCCACATTTTCAAATCATTCTGAGATACTCGCAATTCATGAGGCAAACAAGGAATGCTTTTGGTTGAGATCAATGATCCAACATATTCGAACAACATGTGGTCTCTCATCAATAAAAGAAAGCCCAACAGTATTATATGAAGATAATGCGGCATGCATTGCACAGATGAAGGAAGGGTATATTAAAAGTGACAGGAACAAGCACATCTCACCAAAATTCTTTTATACACATGAACTCTAGAAAAGGGGTGATATTAATATTCAGAAGATACGTTCATGTGAAAATCTAGCAGATCTATTCACTAAAACGCTTCCAACTACAACATTCAAGAAGTTGGTGCATAACATTGGAATGCGTCAACTAAAGGATCTTCAGGGTTGATCTAATGAGGGAGAGCAATTGATCGAAGAGGTATTGGCATACTGTACTCTTTTTCCTTCGTCCAGGTTTTGTCCCACTGGGTTTTCCTTAGCAAGGTTTTAACGAGGTATATTCTTAGTGTAGTTTTGTGGACCCCAAGAGGGAGTGTTATATATATATGCACACTTGTGTGGGGTCCACGAATTCATTAAGTCATCCATGTAATCATAAGTTTTGAGGCTTGCAAAGAAAGATGGCTTTGGAGGCTTATAAGAGAAGATACCAAAATGGCGTACATGGGAAGCTACACTGTGAGCCTATATAAGGCATTGAATGTCTACTATTTTCAGAAATAAAAATTGAAGCTTTCATTCTCTCTGTGTCTCTATTTCGTTCTCTCTCTCTCCATCTCTCTGTGTAAAAGTTTTGTTTATTTCTATAATAACTATTATTCTATATATATATATACACACACATATATTTATTATAATTTTACTATTTTCTGTATCTTTTTGTTCCACAAGAGTAAAAGTATTTTTCAACCAAAAAAAAAAAAACCAAATTTCTTCCAAATACTAACGAGCAATTAAAATGTACAGTGTGTGCTAGAGAGGATGGTATTATACTTGTATTATTATAAGCCGAATTAAAGGCAATTCAAATAATTTTTGTACACCAAAAAAATTCACAGGCCAAACATATGGGCTTGGACTGGGATTTCTAAATGTGATATGTTGGGTTGGGAAAACAGTGGATTAAAAACAGCATTGTCTCGTTGGGCCCAAATTATTTTTTTTCTTAAAGGAAGATTACCTTTCGAAATGAAAACTAATAAGCCACATAACTAAATACAAAGAAATACAAAAAAATCGACTAATAATTGATTTTTAATCTGTCAATTTAACATCACTCTTTTTCTTTTGCAAATAAATAAAAAAGATGTTATTCTAGCCCATGGTGGACTATTGTCATAGGATATGGGTCTCACCAGATAAACTAACTAAATTGTCATTCGGGTCAAATGGGAGGATTCCATTGTTGCGTGGAGAGATGGAGATGGAGAGAGAGAAGATGAGATAGGGAGAGAGAGACGTGAAGGGTTGAGTTCTTTGGAGTGGAGTCATCTTCTCTGTGTTTCTCGCCACAGTAAGTTATTTGAAACCCAATTATATCTCAGCTGTTCTAATTCTAATTCTTACCCTTTTTGCATCATTTGACGAATTCAAATAAGAAATAAAATTGTTCTTCTTTCTTATTGCTTCCTATTTCAATTCTAAATACACAAAGCTTGTGTGTTTGTGTGTGTGTGTGTGAGAAACCCATAGCAGTTATGATCACTCATCTCATTAGAAATGGCAGGTTTCACTAATCTGGACATATAAAGTGTTAATAGGGACGTCACCCAGTTCTTGGTTTATGTAGAGTAGGTCCTGGGTATGGAGGACTCGAGATAGACATTAATTTTATATTTCACAAAGTAGCTGCTATTAAGTTTGAACTCACACCAATGACACTGATGTTCAAGTTTCAAGTCTCTGAAGCAGACAATGACTCTCATACTGTTCATATCAAATTATTTTTAGAAGATATAAACTCCAATAATTACAAATCTACTCGATTTAGTATAATTGAATTAGGAAATAAGACTATATCAATTGTACAAGTTGGAATTTTCCTTTTCTACGCTGAAGTAAGAAATTTGTATGAACAAAACATCTCACCTGTGCTGCAACTTCAGAACCATTTATAGATTTTTTTTTTTATTTAAATTTTTTTTTCCAGCTCTAGGCCCACAAAGGAAATTGTAGCAAATGGAATTTTGGGACAATTCATTAAAGTGATAATGACTAATGAGCAAGTATGAGACATGCAGCAGGGGAATCGGGGATGTGTGATCCATAATTGAAAATGACTCAGAAATGCGTGAATGTTTCCTCAAATGGTCTATCAAATGTTGTTTAGGGTTTCTAGTAGACAAACCCTAACGGAGTTTTTCTTTTTCTTCCCATTAAGTAACATTAACTGAGTTATTCTTGGAAAGAAGCCTACAAATATACATGTATAGTGAATACTCATCCACTAGCTTATTGGTGCAGAAACCACTTGGTGGTGAGCTTCTTCATGTATGAAATGATATACTGATGTAGGTTAGATTGACCGGGTTACCACACCCCTATTATTGTTAAATGTGATATCGCGAGATAACTTGTAGTAGTTTACATGTAAAAATTAAATTAATAAATAACTTCAAGTAGTTTGTGTTTTAGCTATGGATTTGGTACTTGAACATATCCTAGATAATCTTTCTGTATCCAATCTGGTCACTTATTGTGAATCCTTATTTATTCATTAGCATGTTTTATTGCTCTAGAGTCAACAATGTTATAACAGTCTATGAAACTGCATTTTCTTCTCTATTTGTAATTTACACACTGTCACCCTCCCAGTTCCAGATATGTCTGCATTTTAATTTCATTTATGCTGTTGGAGGTGCACACAAAAATGAAAACACTCAATGATAAGAGCCATACATTAATTAGGTGAAGTTAACACTTTGAGACTTCTGCGACCGTGAAGAGAAGGGGGGGGGGGGGGGGGGGGGGCGATGTATTACCCTCTTTAGACCTGTAGAGCTAATGCAAAGATGTAGAGGAATGATCAGAATACAAAATGAAAATTAATAAAGAAAGAAAGAAACTTCTCACTAGTACAAATTGAGGAGATGACAGAAATTGTTACTGGACACAAAACCTAGTAAGTTTACTCAATTTTGTTGCTTCATCTTCTCTATAAGATATTTCCTTTTTCTTTCTAATGTTGAAATGTAGTTCTTTTAACCGATGGGACAAATTTCAACTTTATATGCTTCTGCATAAATGTTAATGTTGAATTTTTATTGGCTTTTACTTTGGGATATTTTAAAGTAGTTATTGGAGAGATTGAAGTTGTTGGATCTGTTCTCAAGGGTACCTACTCACTGTGAAACCAAGTATTTCTAGTTGGAGGTGCTAAGATGGATACAAAGACGAAAAGCCAAATAAGTGGTGAGAAGTATGCTGCTGATATTTTATCCATAAGAGAAGCGCAAGCACGCATTAAATCATTTATTCACAGAACTCCAGTCTTGTGCTCTGAAACTCTGAATTCTATTGCTGGAAGGAAGCTAGTTTTTAAATGCGAATGTTTTCAGAAAGGGTGAGAAGTCCGTTTCCAATATATTGTAGAAGATAGGAATTCCTTTTTCTTCCAAATGATAGTCAGTCTTACATCCATACCCTCTTTCTTGACACATATTGTTTTATGCCAAACCTAACAGCTATATTTGTTCCTATGGCTTATCAGTGGAGCTTTCAAATTCCGAGGTGCCTGCAATGCGATTTTTTCACTTGATGATGATCAGGCAGCTAGAGGGGTTGTAACTCACAGCAGGTTTGCTCTACGCTAATAAATACCTCATCTTTATTTTCATTGGCCGCCTTCTAATATTCCTGTCACATCCTCCAAAATTAGTGGGAACCATGCTGCAGCATTGTCTTTGGCTGCGAAACTACGCGGCATTCCAGCATATATTGTTGTACCAAAAAATGCTCCAAAATGCAAAGTTGAGAATGTCATGCGTTACGGTGGCCAGGTTATCTGGAGTGACGCCACTATGCAATCAAGAGAGGATACTGCTAACAAGGTTTTGCAAGAAACCGGTGCAGTTCTTGTTCATCCATATAATGATGGGCGGGTCATAAGGTACCATGAATTATATGTTTTCTTTTTCTGCACTTGAAGGAACTTTGACTTTTAAGCATTCTAGATTATCTTTGGATTTGTACTAAAAATTCTGTTCTACTTTGCCTTAATTGCATCACATTTGAGTTTTTCTTTCTAACCTTTATTTTTGATACTTAGTGGATAGATATTTAAAAAATAGAATTTGGAATAAATATTGTGTTGAATTATGGGCCTGTGTCGTTAGTCCTTAGAACATTCCTCAGATTAACCTGACCAGAATTGCTGAAAACAGTCTCCTGCCCATGTCATGACTTATGCCAATATACATGTGATTTGTTTTGAACCTTGAAACTTGTCTTGCTGTTAACCAAACAGCAGCCTGTCTAGACTCTGTGAAGTGTGAAATCAGCTTGATGAAATTAAAATTAAAAAAGAGATTCCGAAATATCTTTGTCATGTGGAGAGCCACATCAGCGAATAATGCCATTAATTCCAAAGAAAGAGGGGATTCTTGCATGGATGGATTACTGTTTCACCAGGAAATTTTATCATGGTGTGAGTTAAGCTAGTGTTGTATTACTGTAGTCTCAGGTGACTGGGAGAAAAAAGAAAACTTGTCATTGTGCTTTCAGTTTGCTGGGAAAAATGTCAGTTTAGTGTACAAAAAAGGATTAAAACTGGTTTAGATTTAAATTGGCTAAGTAGAAAGGTCTTCTTCATCCCACACTTGGCCCACATCTCACTGTCTGGGGAAATGCTTCTAAGATGTGTCATGTTAGTCTAGTGAGATTTATGTCTCTGATTTTGTTGATTTATTTAATTTGTCATTCTTACGTCCAAAGAACTTTTTCTTTGGGGGCGAGGTGTGCATGTGTGTTTGGGGGGTGGAGGGGAGAGTTATAACTGGATGAGGTGATATAGGGATCCAAATGGGGATGCTTGAGGTAAAAATGTCAAATAAAGTAGTCCGGGCGGGTGAACTTAGCTTGTTTTCCTATACTGATTTTTATTTTTATTTTTTAGTAACTCACACACACTTGCTCTGCCCCTATGAGGACTTGAACCCTCAATTTCCAGTTTCAGAGGTTGTTTAGAAAATTGACACTCAAAAATTAACCAAATGGACTAGCAAAATTGGAACACCTAAAATATCATATTTGCTGCTGATTCTCTTTCATTCCTGTAGTTTTCTCACTTCTGGAAAATAGAGAGACATTTTCTAGGCTTGACTCCTGTGTCAGGAATGCACCGAACATGCTGATTTTTCATTTAAGAAATTGCATTGCCATTGTCCTTCAAATCTACATGCCTTCTCAATTGAAACTCCAACATGTTTCACATTGAGAGGTATTTATGTGTGTAGAAAGTAAATAAAAAAGGAAAAACTCGTGGCATGAGTATGAATGCACTATGACAATGTTCAATTGTTTACACAGTGGGCAGGGTACCATATCACTGGAGCTTTTGGAGCAAGCCCCGCAAATAGACACTATAATAGTTCCTATAAGTGGTTTGTTTAATGACTTCTAAGTATCAATTTATCATTTCTATTCCTGCATCATCTTTATTGCTGATTTGATGAGTTTTCCATTTTTTTCTGGTAAAAAAAATTTAGGCGGAGGTTTGATATCTGGGGTTGTGTTGGCTGCCAAGTCTATCAACCCTGCTATTCGAGTTTTAGCTGCTGAACCAATGGGAGCAAATGATGCAGCTCAATCCAAAGCAGCCGGTAGGATTATAACATTGCCTGAGACCAACACCATCGCTGATGGACTTAGAGCTTTTCTTGGAGATTATACCTGGTAATGAAAAATTCTTGTTATAAAAATGATGTGTTGGAGAAATGTTTTCTGTTATTGCCTTATACCTCACATTCTAAGTTCTATTTGAGCAGGCCTATTGTACGGGATTTGGTTGATGACATCATCACAGTGGAGGATAAGGAGATAATAGAAGCCATGCGGCTCTGTTATGAAATTCTAAAGGTTGCTGTAGAGCCTAGTGGAGCGATTGGCCTTGCAGCTGTTCTATCCGTAGTTTCAGGAAAAATCCTGCTTGGAAGGGCTGCAACCACATAGGAATTGTACTTTCAGGGGGTAATGTTGATCTGCGTGTGCTTTGGGATTCCTTTAACAAATAAAAGTTATACCAAATTCTTGCCCAATTGTAGGATATTTCTTTCCCTTGGCAATGAAGCCGTTATTAATGAAATGAAGTTCTGAAAGCAGCCTGTTCTTAATTCCACATATTTTCTTCATCAGTATTAATTTGGCATTTTTCTTTTGCCTTTTCAGCACATGTAAACTCTATATATTTTCCTCATTTTCTAATTAGCTGTCGTATGAAACTGAAATCGGATTCCTTTTGGAATGCGCATTTTTAGCTTTAAGATAATTCATAGAGCTGAGCATACATTCAAGGTGAAATAATTATTCTGCCATGTGAATACCCATTTATAATCTTTATGCCGATTTGTAACTTGTAAGGGACAGAAGTAGGTTACTGAAGCACCACCCCAAAGGCACTTTGTCTTATGGCGCCTCTACCGCGGAAATCACATCTACCATAGAAGATGAACCTGAGGTCCTAAACTCACCCACTTAGGGGGGTCAGTGGTGGCAGATGTATTTTAGTCGGTGCTAAAATCTAACATAAGCATGCCTAACAGTGGCACAAAAAAAATCTCAGAAGCACTTCGCCTATTTTTTCATGCCTAGAACAGACATGAAGAGTAGTAGCAATTCTTGCTTAAAACACTTTCATTTGGGTAATGATTAAAGATCTGCACATATGGGTTTTCTGCTGCCATGTCCACAATCAGCAGTGGAGAACAATTGAAGTCGCTAAAAAATGTTTGCACCAAGTCACCAACAGTTCTAGAAAAGCTAAAAGACGACTCCTTTGAGAATGTTTTTACGAAAAAAAGCTCTATCTTAGCTTTAATAATCTCATCGTGCCTTGCAACCCTGCGCCATGGAGAGAATCAAACTAAACATAATAACCCACAATTGGGATTTAGGGAAACAATGATCACATCACTGCAACAACCGAACATAATAATCCACAGTTGGGATTTAGGGAATCAATGATCACATCACTAACAACCCCAAGGAAAACAAATAAGCCAAATCCCTGTCTCAGAAATGCTTCTGTTCACTAAATCAGTGCAAGGATGAGGGGGTATCAGTTAGTTATTTGGTAGGAGCTAATTGTCTCAAAAACGCTAGTCTGCTCTGCCCTTATCAAACTGATAATAACACTAACTTGTATGAGCCAAGCAATGCCATATGGCATCACCAAAACGAAAATAACATCTATGTAAACAATCAACAAATCACACTAGAAAGAAACTAATTACTATATGTAATGAAGGGCCCTGTTAAGAAAAGATGTTTAAAGACCAAAATATTAATATCAGCTCTAAAAATATCAGACACCCACCTGAAGCACAGAAATGGAATTAGGGATTCCTTTCTTTGGTTAAGCATTGAAAATGAGTTTAACAAGAAAATAGTACTGTGCTGCATATTACCCAATCTGACCTAACATCAAAACTGGAGAGGAACAATCAAAAGAAAATCACCAATTGTGAAAACAACAAAGCCAGAAAAGAAGTGCACACCCAATGAAAAGGTAATACAACAGACCAACCCCCATAATCCAAAAGACCAGCAAGCAAATCACATTCCATCAACTACAAAAGACCCTGATTCTGTCGGAAAAACAATATAGACAACTCATCATCATCATCCATCTTAGGCGGCTTCCTGATCCTCCTCTTCATCATAGTACTCTTCCTCATCAGCAGTAGCATCCTGGTATTGCTGGTACTCTGAGACCAAATCATTCATGTTGCTCTCAGCTTCTGTGAACTCCATTTCATCCATACCCTCTCCAGTGTACCAGTGCAAGAAAGCCTTCCTGCGAAACATAGCCGTGAATTGCTCACTGACCCTCCTGAACATCTCTTGGATTGATGTTGAGTTGCCAATAAATGTCGATGCCATCTTCAGACCAGTAGGAGGGATGTCACACACAGTAGACTTGACATTGTTTGGGATCCACTCGACAAAGTATGACGAATTCTTGTTTTGTACATTGATCATTTGCTCATCCACCTCCTTGGTGCTCATTTTACCACGGAACATGGCTGATGCTGTGAGGTACCGACCATGTCGAGGATCAGCAGCACACATCATGTTCTTGGAATCCCACATTTGCTGGGTGAGCTCGGGGACAGTGAGGGCACGGTATTGCTGAGACCCACGAGATGTGAGTGGTGCAAAACCAACCATAAAGAAGTGAAGTCGTGGGAATGGGATGAGGTTGACTGCAAGCTTGCGAAGGTCTGAATTGAGCTGGCCAGGAAAGCGAAGGCAACAAGTGACACCACTCATGGTTGCAGAAATAAGGTGATTCAAATCTCCAACTGAACAAACAAAAACAACAATTTTAGAATTAAATGATAACAGTCTAAGCACTGGATGAGATTGCATCAATAAACAAAGAACCCCAAACAATGATGTACCCAAAATTTGTGGTTAGGGCTCTTTCCCTTTACCACATTTGCAAGCAGTAAACATGTGATAGCCACACTAGTATATTTCATTTTATCATAATTTAGAATTTACTTAGACTAGTCAAATATTAAGCTCTTACTTTGTGGTACAGCATGTAGGACCATTGTTAATATATTTGTTACACAAATGTATTACATCTAAATCGGAACATCCCAAACATTCTATTCATAACAAAACCCATGCAGGATAATCCAATTTCAGTTAAAGAACATGTGACAGATCCACTTTTATTTCACATAAAATAACAAAGGATTGAAGTATTTTTCAGATTGGGGGGGATACAGAAATGTTAGGCCAAATAATGAATTGATTAATATCATATAGAATCATAGATGAAACTATAACCTTAGCATACCAAGAACAGTGAAATCTACAAAATATATAATACAGATATGCTTCCTTGGTCATTGGGATCAAGCAAGTGATCCATTTTATTTACATCCTATATGCCTCCAAAAATTTTGTCCCCTTATGTGGTACATGACCACAATGGTGGTTGAAGATTGCCAACTTTGAGACTCCATTTTCTAACTTAATAACATGCCCTGAAATTAAAAGCAGCTAGAGATCCTTCCTTTATTCTGTTGTTTGATTTCAGAAATAAGTTCAAACTGTAAGCAATGAGGGCTAGTAGTCAAGCATAGAGACAACAAATCAAAATATTTAATTCAAGCCTTGTTGCTACGTACAGTTAGTCACTTAATCCATAATTTCATTTAAACTCTTGATTGTTAAACACATAATTGCTTTGTACTTATCATCAAAATCAAATTTGAATAGGGTTTTCTGCATATTTTTTTTTACATTTTTTTCCCTATCTAATTACAAAAATATGTGGGAGACGTACAACCCACGTGTGAAAGCACAACTGTATTTGTGCACAAAAGATACGGAGTAGAAGAAAATCTCAAGCTCAGAGTCACGTGACTTGAGCTGTCACCGGTATGGTACACAGCAGACTACTTTTTTAAATTTTAAGATTTTACTGAGCTCCAAGACCATCCACGCCAACTCCAAAACCAGCAAGGGTTCAGATGTAGACGAATCCAGTTAACCAGAAGAAGCCTACCTTGGAGTATATCACTCGCTAAAATATATAATATAAACTTTGTTTAATACATAAGAAGATACTTGGGAAAATATTTCTGTTTTATGCTTACAGAAGAAGAACAAAAAAGCAAACAGCATAAACCAACAAAGAAATAAGTATCTACAATTTTCTCAGAAACCAAAAAAATAGCTATGATTTCCAGAAGAAGATGCCGCCATTGGATTGATGAGAAAGAAAAAAGGAAATCTAAAGTTCGACTACAGTTTGAGATGTCTTTATTTATAAGGCAATTAACTTTGAAACCCTAACTCACAGGAAATGAATGCAACCCTATGAATGAGCCCAAAAAAAAGGTAAAATGAGAAGAGAAACTTACAACTGGGAGTGGAGAGCTTGAGTGTACGGAAGCAAATATCATAGAGAGCCTCATTATCCAGAACCATACACTCATCAGCGTTCTCAACAAGCTGATGCACAGAGAGAGTAGCATTGTACGGCTCCACGACCGTATCTGATACCTTCGGCGACGGAAACACCGAGAACGTCAACATCATCCGATCTGGATACTCCTCCCTTATCTTCGATATCAACAGCGTTCCCATCCCCGAGCCCGTACCTCCCCCCAACGAATGACACACCTGAAACCCTAAATCCCAAACAAATACTCCAAAAATTAAATTCCAAAATAAACAAATCTAACATCCTTTCAGAGAAAAGAAATCACACACAAACATGTATGTATATGCGTGTGTGAGTGTAGCCCTAGTATATATATGTATGTATATACCTTGAAGGCAATCACAGTTTTCGGCTTCTTTGCGGACGACGTCGAGGACGGAGTCGATGAGTTCGGCACCTTCGGTGTAGTGGCCTTTGGCCCAGTTGTTGCCGGCGCCGGACTGGCCGAAGACAAAGTTGTCTGGGCGGAAGATCTGGCCGTACGGTCCGGATCGGACGCTGTCCATGGTGCCGGGTTCGAGGTCCATGAGAACGGCCCGAGGGACGAATCGTCCACAACTGGCCTCGTTGTAGTACACGTTCACTCTCTCCAGTTGGAGATCCGAGTCTCCCTGGTACCTTCCCGTCGAATCGATCCCGTGCTCTGCGCACACCACCTCCCAGAACTTGGCTCCGATTTGGTTGCCGCATTGGCCACCTTGGATGTGAAGAATCTCACGCATTTTCGATTGATTTGTAGAGAGAGAAACTAGAGAGAGAGAGTTGCAGAAGAGAATATAGATTCAAGAAAATGGACGAAGTTAAGGTTACAGTGAAATTGGGGGAAATGAGATATTTATATAGAAATAGATGTATAAAAGTCGGGGTTAACGGTTTCCGTTTGCTGTTCGATTTAGGGCTGATTTAACGGCAATAGTTGTAACAGGACGTTTTGTTTTAGGTGGGAAATTGAATTTTGAAATGAAATTTTAGTTAAGAGGTGTGCAGAGGACCTAATATAGCTGGGCGTGTGTACGTGTCAAATAATAGTTGGAAAACATTAATTTAGAAAAGTCAGCAAAATCAAATATAATTAAAGTTGGGAAATTTTTTTTACTATTACTCTGTAATAATTTTTCTTTTTTTTATCGAACAAGTATCACACAACTCACACATACCGACGCATCTTTACACTCGGACTCAAACCCCTTCCCTTTTGTTAGAGGGAAAAAATTTCTGTTGCAACAGTAAAATGTTTATATAATATGCATATTCACGCATGTATTATACACATAGTATATAAATGATTGGAGTGCAACTGTGCGTAATAAAAAAATTCTCATAGACAGTATAAATTACAAATGTTACTTGAGCTGAAATCTAGGGATTTAGGCTCAAAAATGATTATTCCTTGTAAATAAGTAGATGTATGTACTATTTATTATTGGGTAAAGTGTACAGATGTATAGAAATTTTTTATAATATTTAGTATATGTATATAAATTCCTAACATTTAAAAAAATGTGTAAATTATCTCCTAACAAAATACCTTTAATCTTATGACCTTAAAAAAATTTGAAATCGGTGTTATTTATTTATTTATTGTCTTAAGGTCATTTTAGGTATTTTAACTTTCAAAATTTAAAAATATCCTTATTTACTCAATTTTAAAAAAATAAAAGGGTTATGATTTTTGAACATTCAAGAATATTTTCACATTTTATATATAACAAATAATTTTTTTTTGGGGGGCCACTTTACCCATTTATTATAATAACAAAATGACAAGCTATCACTATAGCATTAAAAGTTAAAAAAAAAAAAAAAAAAAAAATTGAAAAGACGTGTACGATCATGTTTTCATTTGCATATTTATGTTCTTAAAACCTTGTTACATATGTATCTAATTATAAATAATAATTTTAAAGTTAAAATAGTTTGAACGTAATAAAGAATGAAATAAATGGTGGGCCGAAGTTTTGATGTGTCATGACTCGCAAGCGATTGAGTCCACAAGGTTGGTGCAGTTACAGAGAGTGAAACATAATGATACACCAGCAATTATATATTTAACTTGCATTTTACTCTGTGATGATGTCACTCCATGTACAGCTGCGAAAGGGTAATCATCAAGCATGAAATTGACAGATAGAGAACAACATATTGCAGACTCATCAGATTAAATAAGAGCTCAGACTTCACTATCACAAAAGCCTTGGGAGCAAAGCAAAACAACCAATAATAGTATTTGATTGAGATTGTGCCCCTTGCCCCTCTCTCTCCCTCGTAGAAAGACAATTCTACAGACTAGTGATTAGCGGGGAGGGGCAAGATTCAAATACAGACTCTAGAATACGAAAGCAATCCAATCAATTAGATAAAAGCCAAACAGCATTGTCCTCCTCCTATTTAACATAAGACAAAAAGATGCATAAAAAAGGGTCAATTATGCTACTTTTAGTATAAACTGAAGGTGCCTTTGGATGAGTATAATTGGATCAATAAATGGGAAAAAAAAAGGAATATTATTAATTAGGAACGAAAAGAAAATGATATGTTGGGTTAATTTTCATTGTGTTCGGATTACAAAAAAAGAATGTTTTAATATTATAGGGAAAGAATGTTTTAATATTATGGGAATGGAAAGAATAAACCTAAATTCCCTTTTATATATATATATATATATATATATATATATATAAATAAAAATGTACAATGATAATAGCTAACTCCATTATTACATTAAAATAGAGTTGAAAGGGGTTTGTAAGTTATTCTCTCTCTGATCACCATTTTTTTTTTTTTTTTTTTTTTTTTTGCGTATGTTTTTAAAACTAAACACAATATAAGTTCACTTTTTTCTTGTCTGATTTTGTTAAATTACGATTTGCATTATTTTTTTATTTTTGCAAAAAATAAAATAAAATAAAATAAAAAAACCCTGAAATAAGACTTCGGTTTACTGAGGCATAAAATGACTAAAATGCCCACATATTAAGTACATGACCAAACCCAGCCTAATGGGTTGGCATTCTAGCCTTTTTCTGCTTTTAAACAGAAGTCGGGGGTTTTGCCAAAAATAAAAAAATAAAATAAAAAGAGATTTAATGCAAATCCCAATTCGCCCATAAAAAAAATAAAATAAAATAAAATTTCACAGTTGATTTTGTCCACCAAAGTCTCTCCATCCCACAAATTCCACCTCTAGCGCCCCCAAAATCAAGGATCTTCCTTTCCCTTCTTTACAACCATATCTAAATTAAATTCATCTTCTTTGCATACCCACACTAATATTCATTTTTCCTTTCAGAACTCACAATGTTCCTCCCACAATGGTGGTCAAACACGGTACATAATTCACTCTCTCACTCTCTCTCTCTCTCTCTCTCTATATATATATATATATATATATAAGATATCATGCGTGCAACTGGTAATGAAAAATATATAGACGCAAAATGACTCTTTTTATTAAGATATATTGGTGTGGTTATGTAAAGAATACGCCATATTAGTAATGTACTATTGTATTTGAACAATCTCTGTTGCATTTCAGGTAGTTTGAGCTGTCGGATTAGGTTTGAAAATATAATTAGTTAATTATTCTACTATAATTATCTATACAACATATGAAGTCCACATGATTTATAGTTCGAGCTCCTCAAATTTAATTCACAGGGTTCGACCACAGCTTGTTGTGTTCTTGTATAAAGGGTGATGCTGTAGTTATTTCACTCAATTTATGTTTGTTTAGATGCGAAACACAATTAGAAAACAGGAAATTTGCCTCTGTTATTGGATGATGATACATGCCAATGCGCTTGCCATGTTGAATAAGGTCACATGAAAAAGATAGGTTTTTAAAATAAAATTCAATTATTGGAAACAGAAAACTCTTCTCAGAAAACTGAATCGAACCCTTAGGTTTCGTTTGGATGGGAAGATTTGGGAGGATTTGAAAAGAAAAAAAAGGAAAGGATAAGGAGTGTTATGTTTGGATGGGATGATTTGAAGAGAAAAGAAATGACTTGGAAGGCTCATTTGGAATCCCTCCAAAATTGACGAATCGATTTGGAAGGATTTGAAGAGAAAGGGAGTTAATGACAAAAGTATTTCTCATTTGGAATCCTTACTAACCCTACGAAAAAGGGTAAGATGGTAATTTCATTATTATCATTTCCCTTCTTTTCTCTCCTTTGTGTTATCCAAACAACAATATTGCCAATTCCTTTCGTTTTTTTTCCTATTTATCTAAACATAAATATAAATTATATCTGTCATTTCTTTTATTTTATTTTCTTTTCTCTTATGATCCATTATTTTCTTCTCTCTCGAAACCTTAGTTTGCAGGAAGAAACAAGGGAAACCCTTTTCGCATCATTTATAGGAAGTTGAGAATTGTCTAGAGTAAAAATGATTAAGGAATTTGACGCAAAAGAATTGAATTTCGAGTTTTTCTTATACATGAAATGATTCCATCGCCACTTGAATTACTACCCGAAACCATGCCTTGAGATGTATTGATGCAAGAAGAGTCCATTCCCTTGATATCAACTATTAAATTATTTGACAGTGTCTCAATTTTGTGTTCAATGAATAAAATATGACATTATTATTACATCCACACCTATTATGCTTTGGTTTAAGTACATTGATCACTGGTATCACCAAAAACTTTCTATCATAAGTTGAGTCGGTTTGTCATTATAACTTGTATGATCACAATATAAATGTTGTACCGATTGAAATTTTCAACTTAAATTATTTACAATTTCTTCAATGTTGCTAATATTTTTGGGGTAGGCAAATTCCTCGACTGGAGTGGCAGTGAATGATGAGTGCAAGCTAAAGTTCATGGAGCTAAGAACGAAGAAGAACCACCAATTCATTGTGTTTAAGGTGGAGGAAAAGATTCAACAGGTGATAGTTGAGAAGCTTGGGAAACCTGATGAAAGCTATGACGATTTCACAGCCAGCTTGCCTGCCAGTGAATGCCGCTTTGCTGTATATGATTTTGGTTTCACAACCGAGGAGAAATGCCACAGAAGAAAAATATTCTTCATCGCATGGTAATTGCACACAAAAGCTCCCTCAGGAGTTTCATCTGGTTCCTCAGTATTCAATACCCTTAGTACTTATGTTTTGACCTCTGAACTCAAAAGATTTTGATATTTTACTTTCCTGCATGGATTCAAAATTTGACGAATTTCTGAAAAAAACAAGCCATCTTCGCTATATCAGTTGAGTTGTCAGTTGTCACTCATTTGATTACTTTGTGGGACTACTCATTTGATACAGTACGAATGAACAATTTTATGAAAATGGGATCTACGCGATCCATTGATAATTTACCGGCATTTTAAGGGAATAAAACGATTTGTTGTATTTCACAACATTTTAAATGAGTTTTTCTCTACAAGATACGAACTTGTCCTCATTTTCACACGAATGGATGTTAATATGAACTTTTTCTTCTTATTTTTCTTTTGATCACCTATGGCAATGTCTGTTTTCTTTGGTATCATATTTTCTTCTAATGATGTTTTGCTGTGTTAGTTTTAGTGATATAGGTGTGAGATGTTATATTTTCAAGTCTTATTTCTGTATACAACATTACCAATTTAAGTAGAACATATATATAATTTATGCAAATTGATGTATGGTATGAAGAACAAAAATTGCATGATTCAGTGTTCATGCTCTGCTCGTACCATTTAAATATAAGAATCCGCGGTTGCAATTTCTAGTGACAAATCACCAAACCTAAAATCAAAAGAAACATGTCATTTACTTTTTTTTCCTTCACCATTTGCTCCACAAATTCATTTGCAAAATTCAGTTACATATATTTGTGACTTTAAGTTCTGCTCATTGTGCTTAGGTCTCCTGATACCTCAACGGCAGCTAATAAGACGCTCTATGCTAATTCCAAGGATAAATTCAAGAGAGAACTTGATGGCATTCAAGTTGACTTCGACGAGGCAGAGAAGTCCAGGGCAGCCTTCAGAGAGCAAGAAGAGGAGAATTCGGAGTTGAAAAGAGAGCTAAATGAGCTGAAAAGGGAGCTGTCCGAGTCAAGAAGGCAAGCATCTAATTTTGAAGAGCTCAGTAACGGAAGAGCAAAGGCATTTGAAGAAGAGAAAGAGCATTCTTCTAAATTGTGTCAAACCTTGCTGCAGATAGAAGCAGAGGTGAAAGAAGAGAAAGGCAAGCTATACCAAGGTGTTGATTTGGCATTACAAAAGACCAAAGAGCAGCTAGTTGACATCAGAAAAATGTCGTGGAGCGAGGGCTACAGGCAAGGCTATTCTGCAGCTTCTGGTAAACCAACAAATGAAGTGGAGGTCCCTCATGTCCCCATATTTGATGAACCAACGACCCCCTCCCACGAGATCTTTTAACAATAAAATGAACTAGACTACTCTGTTTGTTTGTTTTTTTTCGGTTCTGTGCTATGCCTCTATTCCTCTGGCCAGTTCCTCTAATGCCGAAATGGTGTTAGAATGTAATAAAGGAGCAAATTATGGAGATTGTTCTGAGAGACCTTGACTTTGAAGAAAACAAAAGGTTCAGTAAATGATGATGGTGAAATGGAAGCTACGCGAGAACCAAACTGTTCTTCCTCTTGCCAGGATCATGGTGGAAGTAGCACCACTCACAGACCTTAGGACCCCTAGGAGTTCCACCGAGTAGTTGGATTAGGCATTCTGAATCTGGGATGTTTTACTGTCACAAGCTGCTGCTGCTGCTTTAATTCAGACTTGAGTCTCAGAATTTTCAGGTCTCGGATTAGTGTGCATGTGTTTGTAAATTTCTTTTTAGGTGTTTTTTTTGAAAGGTTAAACAAATGCTAGGCCTTCAAGGAGGTTCGAACACATCTGAACTTGTAAGAGCTAGACTATTGCCCATTTAGTAAATTTCTACCAAGTTCTTTGAATATTTTTCTTGCAACTCCCTTTCTGGATTGTTTTACCCAATGAAATTAATAAAATTTTCGTTCCTTTTTCATTTTTATTTAATTTTTTTTTATTTTTTTTAAATTTGGTAACTTATGTTTTAATAATGGTGAGGAATTGTATCACTTTATGTTTTTATTTTAATTGGTAATTTGTGATTAATTTATGTTATTATTTCAAATTATTTATTTATAGATAATGATGATTTGCAAATTCTTGACATTTGGTATGTTATGTTTTAATAATGGTGAGGAATTGGATATCTTTATGTATATATAGTCAAATTTTTAGTTCCAAATTTTTATCCATTTAAATTATTATACAAGTATGTATTTGTATTTTAATTTTTACGTTTTTGTATTTTTTAGCCGAACGTATTTTTTATAAAAAAAAATAAAAAATCTGAATTATACTAGTATGTTTCCAAATTATTATTATTATTATTATTATTATTTATTTTTCTTTATTGTATTTTACTAACTATGATACAATTTAGGGTTGCAATTTGGGCGGGTTTGAGGTATAACTTGAGCCAAATTCACCATATAAAATGTTAAACCCAAGTCCAACTCTAACCCTATTTTTAACCCAAGCCTAATCTGTCATTCTATTTTTAAATTCGAGTTTGTAACTCGAACTTAAATTTGGAGTTAAATATTGGGTTACTCATACGCTAATCTTCATATCAAAAATTTAATATGATCTTGAATTAGTCTTAAATTAAATTACTCTCAGTTACATTTTTCCCTTCCCATGTTATATCTTAACTCATTATATGTCAATATTTAGTAGAATTAATTTTTTAAAATTTGTTTGTAATTTATTAAAAAAATTATAAATATATATATCTTAATTCATTATATGTCAATATTTAGTAGAATTAATTTTTTTAAAATTTGTTTGTAATTTATTAAAAAAATTATATATATATAATGAATTACAAACAAATTTTTAAAGGAAATTAATTCTACTAAATATTGACATATAATGAGTTAAGATATAACATGGGAAGGGAAAAATGTAACTATAGTTTAAATATTATATATAATGTATTCAAAATTAAAAACATATATATTAGAATTTGGGTTCGGTGGTTAGTAAGTAACATCTCAACTCAAACATAGCCTTAATTAAATTCGGATTGAGATTTTTCAATTCAAGCATAATTGTCCAAACCCACAAAAAATGGAGCTGGGCTCGGGTTGGGTTCGGGTTGCCCAACCCACCCCAGATGCATACTATACTGCCCAGTTCCATTCTAGGGTTTTCCCTCTCATCAGAGTCGAAGCATGGAGGACGTGCCGTCACCGACTCCGTGTTGGAGCAACATAGTGAAGAAGCAACCGAACCCTCCAAATCATCAGCAGCAAGCAAACGCCTCCAATGGAGTTTTCGTCGAGAGCTGCAAATCCACCAAAGGCATCGCCGTCGCGGTGGTGGACGCCAACGCCATCATCGAAGGCGGCGAGAGTCTCAACAAATGCGCCGACAAGTTCGTATCAGTTGATGAAGTCATGGACGAGGTCCGAGACCCCATGTCCCGTCACAGGCTCAATTTCCTCCCCTTCACCGTCCACAAGTTGTCACCCTCTCCTGAATCCCTCAAGAAAGGTCTGTCTTTTCGATCGCACAACCACACACAAACACATGTATACAGTATATAGCATCTTTATTTACTTGATTCCTATACTGACACTGACTGTGGTCGATTATAGATTGGATTAATGGCACAAAATTATATAAATCTGACCAGAAAACAGTAATTTGGCGGGATGTGATATTGCTTGACAATTCAAGATTGTTTATGTATGTACACATTTTTTTCCTTTTAATATGATTTGTTTCAGACCTATGCTTTACTTGAACCATATGATGACTGAACATTATAGCTGGAAATTATAGATGCGAGTAGTAGCATAATGATATAAAGTTGACCAGAAAACAGAACTGGACGTTCTAATTTTGCAGAACTTGATATTACTTGTCAATATAACTTTTTTCTTGTGCAACTCTTCTGACTATTGTCTTAAGTGACAAGTTGGAAATGCAAAAACAATACTATAATAGGAACATTTGCATAGAACGATCTGGCACGCTTGAATTTGGGATTTTTTTAAATATAAAATGATTATGAATTTGGTTTTTAGCATTGCTATAATATGAACATCTAGTAGAAAGAGAACTGTAATATTTGCTGTTGTAGACTTGTAGTTGACTAGAACTATATAGCCTGTGCAATGCCCTTGTGCCTTACCAATATCCTTGACATGGATGATCTTGTTCAACAGAGACTGAATTGTCGTGAAAAACAATGCACTTCAGTTTATCACTTAAGATAATTTGAAATCCATTTTTTTAATCGGTAACCTTGATTAGGATTATGATAATTAAGGACCTTTTTTCAGCTTCATTTCATACCCTTTTTACTTATTTAAATTTTAATAGTTTTTCATCAAATTATCTCATTCTTATATATGTTTTACTATGTAACAAATAAAATAGAAGCTGCACTTTTGTGGTTTGCCAATGAATTGAGTTTCTTCTTTCTTTGCTAAACTAATTTAGGTTTTTGTGGGTATTGTTGACTAGTTCCTAATGTAACTTGTAAGCCCAGTATATGCATTGTGAGGGTAATAAGTATTGTATAATATAAGATATTAATGTTAATTTATTAAACTATTATTCAAAATCAAAGCTTAAAACTAGGAAGCAATTAAATAGGAGCTCATGTTTTTCAGTGGTCACAGTTTCACTTAAATGTGTTATTACTTGGCATGACAGTTATCAACTTTGCAAGGGCGACTGGTGACCTGCAGACTCTTTCAGATGTCGATCTCAAGCTCATTGCTTTGACTCATACATTGGACACTCAGATTCATGGAACTAAACATCTCAGAGATAGTCCTCCTCCCATCCACACAGTTAATGTAAGAAGGCTGCCAGAGAAAGACATGCCTGGTTGGGGATCCAATGTTCCTAATTTGGAAGAGTGGGAAGCATTAGAACATGATGCTGAGGATGGATTGAATTCTAATTCGAGAATCCTTCCGTTGAAAGACTTGAACTTAAATGTTCTCTCTACAGATCACGCCCATAGTGCAGAAAATGGTTCGATAGGGAACAGAGATGAAACTCAATCTGGGAAACCAGAGGATGTCGATGACAGTTTCGGCCAACATAGGAGATATTTGCCTGTGAAAAAAGAGATAAACATTGAGGGGAAGAAGATGGTGGCAGATGGAATTGATGCATCTCAGGGACAATTCGACGATAATGCTGGTGATTGGCTGCCTGCTGTCAGTCGAAGTACCCATAGAAGATTCCTTAGGAGAAAAGGTAGACGTGAAATTTATGCAGCATCATCTGAGAACGATGGTCAGCAAGATGCAGTAGAAAACATGGAAAATGACACTGAGGACGCTGGATGCCCAGATCTGCTAGTTTGTAAAAGTTTTGAAGAAACACATCTTGTCAATGGAGATTCAGAGGAAAGTAGGATCGAAGAAGAGAAGAGCGGTAGTGATGATCTTTCCTCAATATTGAATCAAATGAGACTTGAGGAAGGTTCATTGAGGGCTCTTCAAGAAGAGAAGGAGCAGGGCCTTTCTTGTACAGGACTAGAGCCTAACAGTTCCATGGTGGAGGAAGCTACCGCAAAAAATAATACAAATATAGCTGTTGAAGGAGATGAGGTTGAAATCATCAATGAAGGCTTGGAACATTTAGAGATATCTAGCCAGACTACTGAAAGCGTTGATGCATTAAATATTATGGATGATAATAGTAGCGAGCAAAGCTGGATGCTGAGATCCTTGTCTGAGTCTACCGTAGCCTGCGTGACTAGTGACTTTGCAATGCAGAATGTTCTCCTGCAGATGGGTTTACGCCTGCTGGCACCTGGAGGAATGCAAATACGCCAACTGCACAGGTATATGTTTATATATATTTGTGTGTATAGACAGATATGGAGTTACTTTGACTCGGTGTTAACCAATGAACACATTTCATTTTCTTTTGCATTTGACACTATAATCTATATTAGTGCCTCAAAGTTACGTATGTTGTAGACAGTAGAATTAATGGAAAATTTAGTGGACGTGATTTGTGCTTATTTATGTGATGTCTATTTTTTTCAGGTGGATACTCAAGTGCCATGCCTGTTATAAGCTCACCACGGAAATTGGTAGGATTTTCTGTCCCAAATGTGGGAATGGGGGCACTTTACGCAAGGTAGCTGTTACAGTTGGTGAAAATGGGATTGTTATCGCAGCACGTCGGCCACGTATTTCCTTGCGAGGCACAAAAGTGAGTATATCAGTATTATATTCTCTTTTGAGTATCTAGCAGGATTTTTTTGGTTCCTCACAGTTATCTTTTCTAGAATTGTAAAATGTAAGTTGTAGTTTTTTCTTTGTGCGCCCAACACCCCCCCCCGGCGGCGGGCGGCTGCGAAGGAATTGTTTGCACCCAAGAGGAGTTGAACCTTAGACCCAATGCATGCTGAGGCACCAGGGCAAAGTTCTTAGTCACTTGAACCAACCCCTTGGGGGTTCTTTGTGCGGTCATACGTAAAATTTACTGAAATATTGTGCTTGTGCATTGGTCCCTGACCTTTCACATGTTTTGTTCTTTGTCCTTGTTGAGCTTTTCAACCAAATATTGTACTGCTTAATGTCCAGCTGTTTAGTTTGACAATAAATTGCTTACTTGAGGTCAAAGTGTTTGTAGGCCATGTTTATGTTGCCAACTTTCAGTGTAATAATTGTCTGGACACTAGATTTTATGCCATTCGTGTTGTTTAACATGATTCTGAGTAGGATGTGACAATGATGCATTTGAAATGTGGCTGATGAAACTTAAGGGGGTATCCTACCTGAGATGCTATCTCTTCCCATGTGTCTCTGTTTGTATTTACCTTTGTGTGTGTGTGTAAAAGGGAGGTAGGAATTTGTGAAAGAAATGGGGATCAAGACCGTAGCACCAAATAGACACCTGGAATGAATCTGAATTGGTGCTTGGAACTTGGTTGGCTTGTATAAGAAGTTACTTTTAAATATTTATTTTGAAGCATTGCTCCCATTTGGATTTTGGATGTGAAAGGCTGACATTTGGTCACATGCAGTTTTCACTGCCTTTACCACAAGGTGGAAGAGAAGCCATTACTAAGAACCCTATTTTACGTGAAGATCAGCTCCCACACAGGCTCCTGTACCCAAAGAAGAAAAAGAAGAGTAATCAGGTGGGTTCTCACCCTCATCTTTCTCTCCTTTCTCAGATTATTTTCTTTTTATCCTGTTCTCATCCTGTGCGGTGGGGTGGGTCGAGTGTGGATTTGTTCTGTTACTTGGTCCAATTATCTTACTTTTATTTAATATTGATGCTTCTTCTTTTTGTAGGGAGATGACATCTTCATGGCAGATAACATCTTTTGCCACCATACAGATAAGAAAGCTCCTCTGCAGCCTCCTATGAGGAAAACATTAGCAGTTTTCAGTGGCAGGAGGAATCCAAATGACAACCATTACTCTCGTTCTATGCATTAGTAATTTTAAGCTGAAATTTTGATTTATATTTTGACCTTAAAATTATAAATATGTATCTTTCTTTTCTCCCAAAGAACCTTCTTCATGTTGTGAAACTGGTTTCTTGAACTTATTAATGAGCAGGTCAGATTAGTGAAGTCAAGGATTTTTTGAGGTGTACTTGAATTGTTTTTCTACAAATATTTTGCTAAGGCTGAGCACAATTTTGAATTGATTTATTTCAGTATCATTTAGTACTCTCTCTCTCTCTCACACACACAAATGATACACGAAAGATCAAAATCAATAGGTAACAATCATGTTGCCTCAGGAATTGGAAATACAGATGCTGCATCATAAAAAAAACTATTGCGATATCCATAATCTCAATTTGTCATCAATTCTGTCTGGCTCTGATGAGTAAATTAGATTGTTAACTCGCAACTTATATTCTGAATTCCACCAAAGTCGAAAAACTTTGGAAACAAAAGCCAGGGCAATGAATGGGAACGAACACTGCACAACATGATCTTCATTCACTAACTAATAGCTTCAGAGCAGTTGTATATTTTCTCATTTACAGTATGTTAGCTTCGATTCAATTACGATGAGAGTGCAAGCTCAGCCCAGGCCAAAGAAGATGCCTTAAGCTCCGCAGATACATCTGTGTCAATTCCGTTCTCCAACATTGTGCATAATTCCTGCATAGATGACCGGTTGTTGGAGTTTTGATGAAAGCACAGAGTCACCACCTCACATATCACTTTCAGGTCTTCGTATCTGAAATATTTCAACTCGGGATCCACCACGTAAGAAATTACTTCTGGCAGTTCGAGAAAATCTTTAGCCTGTAATAGAGGAGAAAATTAGGTTTTGGTGCATTTAAACATTTTAGTATGAATTGGCATATATATTCAAAAAGGTCTCCAAGTTCTTACCCAATCTACTAAGCACCCTTTGTCCTTGCAGTATGGAGGTCTCCCACTAATTATTTCCAGGAGAAGTACACCGAATGCATAAATGTTGCCTCGGACATCCAGACAACGTTTCTCCATAGAATTTGGAAGAACACAAATAGGACCCTCGTTGCTTACGAAGCCTGAGTTCTTTTCTGATCTTGATAGAATAGTCTTCCAGCTTTCAAAATCAACCAGCTGCAGAAAAAAATTTAAAGAGACGTCCTAAAAAACATTAACTTTGTACCCCATTGAGTAATATTGTGACTTTTCTACCAGGATCATAAACTAAATCATCTTGAGAGAGAACACCGGTAAAAGAGAAAACTTTTATCCTTGTAAGAAAGGTTGAAAAAGAAAATACATTTTGGAGGCTTCAAGAACCCAAGCCCTAACTCAACCATTCTCTTGTGCATACAAAATAATAAATTTTATACGGTTTGTGTAATACCGGTAGAGGGCTTCTTGCATACCTTGGGAGAAAAATCGTCAGTAAGATACACAGCACTAGAATTCAACTCAGATATAGTAAATGGTGGTTCAAGTTCTGTGTGAAGATATCTTAGTCCACGAGCAATGCCTATAGCGATTTTCATTCGTCGTGTCCAAGATAAGTGGCATCCATCTCCATCTGCATTCAATAAGAAAGCGCAGGAATTATCTACTGAAACATATTGAAGTAACCTACTGTTCTAAACTAAACATATTGAAGTAACCTACTGTTCTAAACTAAGAACTCTACTTACATTGGAGGTGCTCATACAGTGTCCCATTTGATGCATATTCGAAAACCAGCATCCTTGTAAAGGGGTTGCTCTCTCTGCAATAACCCAGTAATTTTCCTGTATTCTCATGATCTAATCTTGCCAAATCTGCCACCTAAATCATGCAATATCTGAAAATTATGTGCCTGCGATAAACCATGAAAAAACTGAAAATTGTTAAGCTTGCTGTAGTATCAATATTTCGTTACCTCTCTCTGAAAATAGAGCTCAAGGAAGCCAGTCCAATGTTCTTCCTTTATGCAAAGGGATATGACAGCAATCTCAGGCCCACCTTTCATGGTGCCTTTGTAAACTATACTGTCTGGAGAGGACCCAATGATGTTACTGAAATCTTCACAGGCTACTTCTAGTTCTTCTCTGCCGAATCTCAGTAAATCCTTCAACAACTCAGAATCTGAGCAAACACGGAACATATAAACTTACGATCATCGGTCAAGAACACACTTCCAAAACATGGGAGGCAACAAAGCATGTGAAATAGAGTCGAACCTATGGATATTGTCATATGGTCCTTCTCACTTGCTGATTTCTTCCATGGGATAGAAGATTTGCTCTTCCATTTCTGAAGAACAGTGAAGAGAACAACAAGGAAGAGAAAACCCACCATGCTTCCTGTCATGATTTCCAAAGCTAAAAGCCAGGCAGGTTTTGAAGCTGTCTGATGCTTAGATCCCTGTTGTTTTGGGTTGACTTTTGGAATACTTTTGGGAGGTGAAGCACCATCTGTAATCAGAATCTTGTCAATACCTACCACAATATTGAATTTTTAATGGCTAGAGGTTGCATCCAACCCTAAAGGCTAAAATTATGGTTTCACACACAAGAAAAACTAATGAAATAACATATTATGTATTAATTACAACATGAAAACTCCACAGTAAATCAAATCAGACACTTAAAACTACCTAGATTTATCAAATAAGACACTTAAAAAGACCAAAATTTAATTGCATTGTGTTCCCAAAAATCAATTTGTTCTATTCACTTAACAACAAGCAAAGTATAAATATTTCTAAAGGCTTATACCATGGTTTCACACCTTTTAGCAGTAGGACTTTGTTTTACATCCCTAACAGTTTGTTAACATTTGTCACCTTAGGCAATTCAGCAATCATACAACCACAAAGATAAATCATACCATGCATACTACAATGTGCAGGGGGACTCTGTTTGCTATCTTTGTCTTGAAGGCAGTTCCCTTCAAAGCTTGACCTACATAGAACAAATTTAGTACAGAAGGTTTACAGAAAAAGAAGCCGGTATGACAAACAACTGTATCCTAATGGTACTTCCTTACCTTCTAAAGTAGAAAGTAGAGGGTTAAGTCCCCGTAGGGGCAAAATGGGTGTGTGAGTTTCAAATAGGAAAAAAAGAAAGAAAGAAAAAAGAAGAAGCCGGTATGGCAAGGCACAAATAAGATACCTTGAAAGATACTCCAAGCACTTGGGTATGCTCCCAACCAAGAAGTTGTTTGAGAAATTTGCAAATTTTAACTGAGACAAGCGACAAAAACCACCAATAGTCTGCCCACTTGAGGCATACCTGAAGCAGATATATGTGAATACAATTTAAGGAAATCAGAACTTCAAAAGCAATTTTTATATTCAACTCAACGAAGATTTTTCCCAACTATTTGAGTTCTAATATAGTGCATGTTTTACTTTTAAGCGATAGATTTGGCTGCAAAAGAAGACATCATTTCAATGATCATGTATGGAAAACCTGAAACAATAATCAATCAGTCAACTGAGACTTACATGAGAATTTCCAGATAGCCAGTGACTTATAATTGGCAAATAGCTAAGTCTTATAATTTGCAAGTAGCCAAGTATTACAATTCGCAAAACCAGGTCAGGGCATGGAATGAAGCCACTCCACACACAAACATGGACCTATGAGAAGCCCAAGAAGAAGTTACACACAATTCTTTCAAGGTTATGAACTTCCAGGTTTTTTTTTTTTTTACAGCAAGTTTTTTCGTGGTTGAAGTTTTAGAATTAATGCTTTTATTTACCCATTGAAAATTCATCATTCCCATATACTCATGTCAAACAGTTTGAATATGTACTAGTGAAGATAGAACATCCTTATTTTTGTATGACAAGAACAGATCTTGGTAGACAGATATGACACTGACCTATCTAAACATGAGCCGTCAATTTCTAAAATTAATTTAAATTCAGACATCATAATCATGTTTGCAAGGATAAAAGATTATGCCAAGCATAAAATGTATTAACAGCTGACCAACTACCCAATTGTACATTAGATAGACAGATTGATTAGATTCTAAAACAAAGCTAAAAGTGCAATTAATTTTCATTATCTTCTAAGAAATAATGTCAACTATATATATATATATACATATGCAACCATTTGAGCAGAAGCCAGGGCTTTATATGTGACAAGAACAACAACAAAGCACTGAATTCCACCTGGATCAAGTTGAATTACTACAAAAATAAATCGAATGCTTCCAAGTTCCAATGCAAGAATCTTCTACTTACATCTGGTGTGTGTTGGCTGTAAAATTTAAAATGTTACTCCCAGGAAAAGTTCCTTGAAGTTTATTCCCATCCAGTTGAAGTTCCTCAAGGTACTTTAAATTGCCAAGCTCGGGTGGCAGGTTCCCAGTCAACACATTGCATTTAAGGCTTCTGCAATGACACAAGTAACCTGAACAAGTAAGAGAGAAAGCGGAAAAGAACCAAACATCGAAGTCCAATAAAGAGAGCCCAATGTGAATCTCCACCTACATTTTCAGAATTTTGGTTAAATTCCCAAGCTGAGGAGGAATAGAACCAGATAGCTGATTCACCCCCAAATCCAAAACCTTGAGGGATTTCAACTGGCCAATCTCTTTTGGTATTGTACCAATCAGACCGTTCCCACGCAAAATTCTATAAAACATCAACATATCAAATTATTAATCATAAATTAACAAAAGGATCAAGTATTCAAGGGCAATGTGGGATGTAAGCATACAGTTCTTGTAAGGAAGAGAGCAGACTCAGTTCTGGTGCAAGAAAACCCTTTAAAGATGACCAAGAAATATTTCTGCAAATCAAATTCCACCACAAACTAGTAACTCAAGTAAGCCCTAAAAATGAATATTATAGAATCACATTAATAATGAATCAACGATGTATATATATATATATATATATCTATCAATGTATATGTATACTGTAAAATTAATAGACAAATAACATTTCTTACAGCTTCACGACATAATCCTGAGACGGAGAACAGGAAATGCCAGACCAGTCACAAGGATCTGCATCTAGGGTATTCCAATTTGATAAAACCAGAAGTGGGTCCTCTAGTATAGTTTCCTTAAAGGAAGTAAGAGCATGCACTGTGCAAAAACCCCAAAACTCCTGGTGAGAAAGAAACTCCATGGAAGCAAGATATTTGGCAAGTGGTCACTCAAATGCAGTGGATACATAAAAAAAAATTAAAAAAAAAATCCAAGAGCAGTCATAGTTAACAATGATGTGAATGCCTTTTTAGGATCATATAAAGTAAATTTATGGATTTTAAACAGTAATTAAAGAAAAACATATAAAGAGATGAAGTAAATGGATAATGGATACCTTCATTTGATGCAAAAGCATTACAAGCCACAAGAAAGAGTCCCAAACAAACCCATATAAGTTGAAATTGACTGAATTGTCTCATTTTCACTACAAGTAACTACAATCTCTTAGGAACACAAGTAGGGTTTACAGAAGAACTTCAAAAACCAATGAACCCATTAAACCAACAATCAGTAAGAAATCCAAAAAAAAAAAAAAAAACAGAAAAAGAAAAAAGAGAGAGAGATGCAGAGGAGGAAAAAGGGAAAAAAAACTATTTAGTTTGAGATGTGGGTTTATCAAGCAAGAGAGAGAGAATAGATACAGAAGGCAAGATTACAATGGCGGATTTATTGTAATTGAAATAACGAAAGATTGAGCAAAAAGATTAAAATAACAACAACAAATTAAAAAATTAAATGAAGCTTAAGGGTAAATCCATGTGTCCGCAACAACCCATGAAAGCTAACAACTGGGATGAGAGGGCGAGAGACTGAAATTAACAACAAATTAGAAACTTAGATTCAAAGAGACGTTTGTTAGAGAGAGAAAGTTCAGAGAGAGATTTTGTGGAATGTTTTTGTTTCTGTTTGATATTTAAAATTGGCGGTTTTGTTTTTTCTTTTATGAAAAGATCAGATTTTTATTTATTATTTTTTTTTTCTGATGATTAGTGGAAGGTTTCGCAACAGCTTTTGGGTCTTTACTGCTAATGATTGTTCAAAAGAGGCTTATTGATTGAAAGTTACACATCCCGCGATACGAGAAATACAGCATGTTCTAAAATTTTCCAGTACGGCTCCATTTGTTTCCAATTAAAATATTTTTAAAATTTCTTAGTCCACCAAGGTTGAAAAAACATTTGGTTTGAATAGGGCTACTAAATAACAAAAATAACCTAGTATATATGATTGTTCACATATTTATTAATGTGTAAGAAATTTATGTCCGAATTAAATTATTTAACATTTGAATCTAAAAATATAAATTACTTTTTAATTGTTAGTAGTATCTAACCTTTAATACTTAAGGTGTGCATAAAATTTCTCTCTCTCAATAGGTAAAATCGTTTATATAATACTTTGTCAATTTTAAGTATATAATCTTGTAAGTAAAAACATTTTATGGTTATAAAAGATTAATGCACATATTTACAAGACACAAACAGTAAATTACTTGCACAATACACAAGTATCTATATTAATTAGAACTATGTTTATATCATATCAAAGATCATTAAAATAAGTGGATTGAAAGGAATTCGAATTTGAATAGAATCAACTCTTGAAAGTTAATTTGAATTTAACTTGAACTAAATTTAATTAATTTAATTTCAGTTCAAGTTCAGCATAAATTATAATATAGGTGTGGTTCACATTAGTAAGAAGGAATAAATATTTTATTTTATTTTATTCTATTTTGTTTTGTGGGATTCCTTATATTAGTTAGCAAAGGAAAAAATGAACAGCTAGGATGTAAGCAAGCTGAAACGACTAGCGAGGGCAAAATGGGAAACGTTGATGGGATAATTCCTCCTCCGACATTTGCGCCAATAATTATGTGCCTCATTCTCAGCGCACATTAGAATCACCCACTTTAATTAGCTATATATATATATATATATATATATATATATATAAGAAAAATTACACTTAACCTCCTCTAGTTAGGATTTATTACACTTATCATATTTAGAATAATTACCATTACTTCCCTGTATCAAACTAACACTTTTCGTGACGGTAAAAAATGATCCCTTATGTGACAAGTTTATTTATTTATTTATATATATATAGTTTAAATTTTATATGATAAGTATGCCATTCAAACTGATGTAAAAATATTGTTGTCTAATATTTGTACAAAAAGTCAATTATATCACCAACGCACGTCATTTTCATCAATCTAATTTTCTTTAATTAGGTTTAATATAAGTTACATAAAATGGAAGAGGGAGGAGCGAGAGCGGGAACATAAAAGCGACAAAATTATATTATAAATAGTGAAAATTTGAGCGAGACCGAAAGCGCGTGGGGAGCGTGAGAGCGGGAGTGCACTCGGAGTGTGAGAGCGACACCCGTTGAGAAAGATTATGTAACTTAGGGTATATTTGTTTGGTATGGGTTATAGTTTTGGTGTTTCTGTTTTTGGTTGGGTACTTTAGTAATGTTTTTTAGAAAAAAAAAACGTGTTTGGTAAAAAATATTTTATTTTGTATAGTGTCAAAACGTTTCGTGAATAGAGCAGTCGAAAATCGAAGCACCAATTTGGTATTTCTACATCTTTTAGTATTGTAGTAAACGATATTGTAACGAAGATTAGTTAAAAAAAAAAACTAAAAATTTTTTAGGGATAATTTCACTGACACCCACTGAGAACCTTAAATATATTTCAAAAATAATTATCACTTACATTACAAATATTTGTTCGGTTTTTTACTCACACCCCAAAAGGTTAGTTGGCATGTATGTATATCTTTCCGTTTCATATTAATGTGTGTGAATAAATTAGACTGTGTTTACAAATAGATCAAACCTATCAAAAGGCAAATATATAAAGGAATACATAAAGCAAGCGAAGAAACCCTCAAAACCTGTAAGAGATGATCAAAGGGCAACGAAGGTAGGAGAACTTTGAGTGTTGTGAGTTTTAGCTAGGGTTTCGTTTCTTCCTTAAGGGAACCCATCATCCATGGACGCTACACTAAGTAAGAAAAGCTTCCCCTAATTTTTCTTTAGATCCACTGAATCCATATGGTGATTTCTCTTTCAATCTGCTGAATTCAACTGTTTTTAAATAATTATAAAAAAATAATTCTCAGAAAACTTCAATTTGCAGTTATTTGCAAAATAAAAAATTATATTTTCAAAATTACAAATTAAGCAAAGGATTTATTTAAATATATTTTTAAATAATAAATTCATGATCCTTACTGATAAGTAAAAGACTCAAACTTTTGCTTTGAAAAACAGAGACATATGCTATATGACATATATGATTAAGGAACCAGAGAGAACATGTTACACATATATGGGTCACCTTTTGAATGCTCACTAGAAAAATGATCCACCCCATAATTACACTTCAGTTGCATTGCCATGTGCATGTGACTTTTATGTGTTACCGTGTGCGTGTGATTAGGGTAAAGTTAAATTAGTGAATCAATCAGTGCAGGAACAACTGCTCTCTCTCTCTCCCTCTATATATATATATATATATATATATATATATATATATATGTCATGCGTGTGAACCAAGTGGATTCTCTTGTCCGAAAATTTCTTTCTCTTGGATGAAGGGGATTAATTTAAAAGATCATATTCACTTCATTCAACTTTATTTGATGGATAGAATTTCTCGAATATAAATTTTAGTTCGAATTTTCGATTTAATAATCAATATCTCAAAGTAAACATATATATACACTTTTGCTTATTGTGTAGTTATCTAATAGGCTTTGCTTGTACTCGTCTCTCCTATTTGTTGGTTACTTGTGAAACGAAGATGAAGGCAGATAAGAGCGGATCATCAGGCGTCCCTTCAGATAGAGATAGAGGATAGAGAAATAGTGTGTGTGGTTGGAGTGTGGTGGGTAAGTGGAGTTTAATTAGGGGTATAATAGTTATTTAGGTTATATAATATTATGAAATAAACGTGATTAAAAAATTAAGGATAAAGTTATCTTTTTCTATATTTTTAACGGAATTGCGATGGAAAAGCAAAAATGGACCTAAGTGATGTTATTTTCGAAATATGTTTGAGGCTGATATTTGGCTACCTGAGGGAATGTCGAAATTAATCCAAATTTTAAAATGACATTTTTAAACTAATCATTATATTTTTCAAACTTACAATACTTTTTTACTAAATATTTTTTGATATTCTTATTTTTAAAAATCTTACCACAAATCAACATTACTAAACATATTTCCAATTACTATTTAAAACACTTATTTTGTTTTGGATTAAGACAAAAGTGCAAAACAAAATACTACCAAATATGACTTAAGTATTGGACAAAAATGCTTTCATAGCAAATTTAAGAGCATCATCATTGGTAAAATGCATGAGTCAATTTGTTACACACATATAATTAAAAGGGAGGTAATTATAATTATTTAAAATATAAAAAAATAAGTGTAATAAATACTAACTAAAGAGTTAGTGAAATTCACCAAAATAATAATCATAATAATAATAATAATAATAATAATAATTACATCAAAAGGGTTATATATTTTACTCGTTTTTTGTCGCCAAAATATCACTATCAAAGTATCAAGTTGATGATAAAGGCCGTACAGCTGACAATTCAAAATAGGATCAGCGATCTCTCTCTGGCTTTTATTTGCTTAATCTTATTCCCTTTTTTAGCTCTTTTTTCAAAAGGACTATATTACTCCTGGTAGAGTGGCCATTCTTCTATTCTAGACAGAAATAGAGCTAGGAATTAGCTTCATCAATGGGACAATAAATAAAAAAACATTGGTTTTTTATACGGGACAAGTGTAAAAAATATCTTTAAAATATATTTTGCGTAGTCTTTTTATTCTCTATTTGAAAAAGTGTGCAAAAAAATCCTTAATCTTTTCACATTGTGCAAAAATACAAAATTTGTAGAATTAGGATTTGAATTTTTTGAGATTTCAATTTATTATTTTTTACTAATTTTTTTTCTTAATTTTATATTTTTTCATACCAGCACTGTTAAAAAACTAAAAGAAAAAAAATCCCAATATCAAAGTGCATTGGTTTTCAGAGTTTGAATTTTTTTTGTTTTCTTTAGTTTGCACTTTATTTTTGTTTTTAATTTTTTACTTTTCTCTTTACTTTACTTTTTTTTTTTTTATACTTTTATTTTTTTTTTTTATATTTTTATCTTTACTTGTCCATTGCCAACATCTTTCAATGGTATCATTTTCGGTCATTTTATAAAATTATTTATTTATATATATTTTATAAAACAGTTCAGTAAGTGTAATTTAGTCAAGTCAACTTAGGGTTTAAATTAGGTATAGGGGCCTATTTGCACTAGATTAAAATTTGAGAGGTATTTTTTGCACGAGAAAGGCATCTTATAATAGTGTCATTTTAGGTAATTTTACAAAATTATTCATTTTTTGTGTTTTATACGTGAGAGATGTGATATGGCACTGTAAACATACTTTAAGGGTATTTTGTATACTTAACCCTATATATATATATAGAGAGATAGATATATATATATATATATATATTATGCACACATACAGACGTTGTATACTCTTTGTTACAGAGAGTGTGAGTGAATTCAATGGAGCAGATGCGTGCAAGTAACAAAAATGCAAAATCTGTGAGAGGCGTTTAAGAATTATTTAACTTTTCAAAAAATAGTGTACAGCATAATTCGGAATTGAGATAAGGAGGGCCTACAATAGGTATTGTTTTTGAAAAAAAGGATGGCTTTCTGAAAAGCAAATTACATGCATGTTACTTTCCCCCAAAAAATAATAAAAAAAATAAATAAATAAAAAAATAAATTTACATGCATGTTGGAATGGGGGCCCTTTTATATCACACCTGCATTTTGTCAAATTGTAATCAACACAACACTCCTCCCCTCCATTTGCTTTCTTTATAAGGACTATTGTCCTTGGTCCCCATTTTACCTTCTTCAATATATATGTGTATATATATATGTGTTACATAATTACATTATAATGAATGTGATCTCATTTTAATTATTATGACTAGTAGGAAAGAATGAAAAGAAAAAAAAAAATTTGATATGGTCAACGTGATTTATATAGGATTAAAGTAATTAAGGACAATGATTACTAGTAATTCTTATAAATGATAGGTTGAAGAGATTTTTTGTTACACTTACATAAGTGATTTATATATTCCAACTGAACTTTTATTTTGTTATGTTTTATGATTTGTATATTCCAATTGATGGGGGTAGGTAAGCTGTCCCCTTCACCATTAAAGTAGCTAAGAAATTTCAAACACACGAGTATTTGAAAAAGCAAGAAACCTATAACTTGATATGCGTTTGTGTGTTCATTTGACTCATTCGACAGAATACCATTACTCTTTGCTTCTTTTAATGGTTTAATTTGGTGCGAATGGACCAAACGTGCGTGGGAAGGCAAGGCATATAAAAGTATTAATTACTTAATAAAAATATAATGTTAGCATAATATAATCTAACAATGACCTAATTGCTACTTTTAGTACTTAATCATAAAATGAATCAACTAATGGAAACGACTATGTACCGACTATGTACCATCAATTAGCAGAGACATGTCACATTTGTGTCTCTGTATATGATAGATATTTATGTCTTTACCATACAACTGTTCCAAAATATAAATGTCACTAATATTACTACAGTGATTCTTATGGACATGGAAGTTTGGTCAATGATGCAAGGCCTTGTTAGAGCATGGGGACCAGTTCCCAGACTGCCCTGTTCATCATTATTCCAATTTAAGGGCAAACATTAATTCTTAAAAGTAGCATCTTCAAGTTCTCCGTTTATGTTTTTCTACCATCCTCCAGAGTCAAAAGAATCCTTAGTTAAAATGGAATCATTCGGAATTACATGAATCCTTAAAAAGAATGAGATTTCAATTCAGTATTTTTTGAGTGAGAGGGGATTTACTATATCGTTGGCTTACGATAGAATCAGGGACCTGAGATGTAATGATTTACCTGTGACGGATGTCACCAGTTGAAGCACTCGTGAACATAGTGGTTATAAAATTTGAGAGCTATCATTTTAAGAAGTAATAAAAAATTAAATAAAAAAAGGTTTGTATTTAATATTCGTGTGCCAACCCTCACCCAGACACAATACTTTCCAGGGTATCCTGATACTACTCTAAGTTAAGCATGCTTAGTTTTGGAGTTCTGGTGGGTTCACGACCATCACGACTTTAAATTACATTATGTCATAGAAAAATGTTGAATCTACATATAGTACTTTCTCCATTTATACTCAGATGATGTGAGATAACTCGTCTAGTGTGATAGTCTACTAGTGCCACCTATACTCACCCACAAAATCGCCACAATTTGTCTCCCATAACCAAATTTAGACTTTATTTGGAAACAATCGCCACAATTCGTCTCCCATAACCAAATTTAGATTTTATTTGGGAACAAAGTACTTTAGGTTTAGGGAATGAAGTTGCCTTGTCACTGAATCACCCTTGCAGACCCTTTTCAAGTGGAATGAATAACCTGCATGATGATAGTGGGGTTAGTTGGACAACTGGTTTATTTTCATATTAAAGTCCCATGTCTTATTAGGACTTTTCAGATTCAATTATTTAAGAAAAATAATATTTTATACCATTAAAGAAACCAAAAAGGTTAGAAGATTATAATAAAGTGACAAAAATAAGATGTTATCACGTGGACTTGACATGAACACTTATAATGAATGAACTACATTCAACTTGTGTAATCAGTTAATTTTTTTGACTTGTATATATATCATGAATCAATTATATATATATATATATATATATATATATATATTGTCACAAAACATTTAAGATACTAATTCTTTAGGAGAATATATTCTAAAATAAGAAACCAAATCATATATTTAAATATCATTCTCAAATGCTTGATTGTGATCATACACTACTAGAAAATAAATGTGGCATCATTTGATCACAAAGGTCCATGTGAGGAAGCCATAAAAGCTCACCAAGTTTGACAGGGAGTTTAAGTGAGTGTCGTGTCCTTTTGGGAACATCTCTATCCTCCAGCTCAGAAGCACCAGGTTTGACTAAGTCTCTTGCTAGAGCTAGTGATTAAAATACATACATTAATTTAATGTAATTAACTTTAATTTGTTTTGTTTTTTGTTTTTTCACACACTCATCATATGTTTGACATTTTTATGTGAAAGGCAATAAAGTATAACTTAACTTAGCCTGCCATAAGTTTTAGGTTTGTTTAGTTATTGGAGTGTTTTGCATAGAAATTGCAATTATATTTGATAACGAAAATTTATCTCGAGAAATTTAAAAATTTATTTTAGCTCCTTGAATTACAGTACCAAAACATAAAATATCACCAATTTGGTGACACGAGTTTAGGCCAAAAATTATAAACTATTTCAAATCAATATAAGCCTTCTCAAATATGATATGCACCCAAATTTAAAAATTAATATCAAAAAAACAATATTACAACACATTCCAAAGAGGCTCTTAAGTTTAATTTGTTAGTTGAAGTTGCTTTAATCCTTTTTATTTTGGTTAATTAAGTTGGTAAGCTTTAACAGGCAATTGTCCGGAAAGGGATTTCTCATCCTGTGTATATAATGAATTTATAATAGAGCCCTAAATACTTTTACTTAATTACTGAACTTTATAACCTATATATTAATCATAACTTATTCTAATACCATTATATAATGAAGTATCAAAATGATCAATTATACCCCTTGCTATTAATACACACTCTATTATATCCATCTTCAATATATATACACAATTTATCCATAAGATTGAAAAAAAGAAAAAAGAAAATTGCAGAGTCATAAATGTCCGTGTGGTGGCTTGGGCCAAATAGGCCCAACCAGTACTACCATTCTAAGATTTTTATTAGAAAGAAAAAGAAGGATGCATATTTTAAATGGGCCTCAAAATATCAATTCACAGATATTCCAAACAAGATGAACACCTTTTACAGGCCCATGATAATGATTCATACCATGATGAAATTTCATTGGAACAACAAGGTCCACAAAGAGTGGGCTTCATGTGGAGAGAGGAAAGGGCAAGTCCACTCCCTCAAACAGCCAAAACTTTTCTAATAAATCAATTGACTGGAGATTTATGCTTTGTTTGGTTAGAGGAATGGAAAAATGGATGGAAGGGAGAGGGGAAGGAATGAATGAGGCACCTTAGGGAAGGGAATATGTTTCTCTCATTTTTTGTATAGTTGAATGGAATGGATAATGGAAAGGATGAATGGGGTGACACAATTTTTTTGTTTGATTGAAAGGAAAGGAAATATGATTTTTATGTTATTTTTATTAATATACCCTTATTATTTAAAATTCTAAAAATTCTATATCTATTCCAAATTTTTAGGAATGTTAGAAATGAAAAATATATATTCATGTTAGTTATTACTTTTTTTTTTTCTCTCTTCTTCCTCCCAATTTTGAGCGGATATAAGAATATAAAGGAGGGAGGAATGCTTCATCCCTCCTAACTTTCTCCCTCTTTTCCTTCCCCTCCAACCAACCTCTTTTCCCTTCCCTCCAACCAAACACGAAAAAGTTATTTTATCTCCCTTCTCAATCCCTCCCTCCAACCAAACATAGCATTAATCCCATATTATTGTAAATTACCACAAGGGCATATGGTCTAGTGATACATTCTCTTCCTTCAAAGGAGAAAGTGGAGGGCTCGAGTCTCTCCAGGAGCACTGTAAAAGTTATTTGCCGGGCAAAAATAAAAATAAAATAAAGATGTAAGTTCCTATATAATTGTACACACTCATACCATAAATCTAAGGTATCCCTACTGCTTCTCACTAACACTATCCCAATATCTCTTCTCCCATGTCTCCACTTGTTTTATTGCATTGACTTTTCTCCTAACAAGGCCTCCGAAAACTTGAGGTTCATAAGGAGGAGGCATAGTGCATGGGCTTGTAATGGAAGGACTTTTCACCATGGATTCCGTCATAAACTTCTTCTGTGTCCCTTCTGCAGAGCATGCCATGGTCTCCAAGCAGAACTCCACTGCTCCTTCGGGTATTTCAGGCTTGAATTTCAACAGCTTCGCGTATTGGTTTAACAAATGAAACATGTAATCATAAATGTAATCCATTTTTAGCTCTTCTTGAATGAAGTCACTTGAAGCTTTTCCAATGGCCTGTGCCTGCCAAGTCTCTAGTGAATTAGAGTTTGCACCATTTGGAGTAAAAAAAAAAAAAAAAAAAAAAAATCAAATATTCAATCCACAAAAAGATTACCTTTTGTTTGTGATTATTTCCCCAGTCTACAGCAAATTTAATGGATCTGCATTTGTCATTATCTCTTATCGGCCAGTAATGGTGCACCGGCTGTAGACTTCTTGTGAAGAAGTCATAGTAACGTGGTCTTACTAGCAATGTGACTGAATCACAGGCTAGTATGTATTTCTCACTTACAGACCATGCATATCCTTCAATATATATCTTGTACCTAAGCCCATTATGTATGAAAATTTAACAGGTATATTTTTGAGACCAAAATTTAGGATTTAGGAACTATATATGTGTGTATATATATATATATACCTATAAGTGCATTGACTTGCCAAGTCTGACTGCTTAAAGCCTTGTTGAGATTCCTGAATCCAATCCTGCAAAGTACAATACTTTCAAGAGGTGACAGAAAATCCTGAAATTAAATTGTCTTGAAACCACACTCAATACAGAACTTAAGGACTAGATAAGATCAGAGACTGTAGACAAATATTTACAACAAAGTAATGATTGAAAATAAAATTTACCTGTACGAATAGGCGAGCATTCCAGTCTCGTTGATCGGAGACATTACAGTTGAGGAGGTCTTTCCTGGTGTCAGCAACAAAAGGGTTCCCTTTCCAGTAGGCAAATGGTTCCCTTTCCATCCATTTGGTCCTATTGTTGCCTTCTTTTAGCTCCTTCAGAATACTCTCCCATGGCTTTATGTTTATTTCAGCCCTATTAAAAGCACATCACCCAATTATAAGGTAAATGAGCTCAACCCATGATATAAATTACTTTAATATTGTCTTCTATGTCACACAATAAGAAAATTACAAAAGGAATGCAGAGAAAGATTACCGAACTCTTCCTTTGATAAGTAGATTCCAAATATTATTGTTTATTTTATTATATATATATATATTTGAATGATAAAGCAAACACACATACAATTTTATCAGGTCCCGGACTCCTCAAACCCCCATCTGTTCTGAGAATGGGGAAGTTATCCGATTTGGGTAGAGGCCCTTTTGGCTGATTCACATTATAACTAGTGAATTTCAGTGTGTATTTATCATTAGGACATTAGATTCTTAGGACCTCCACACCATTGACATACATTAGATTAGTTCTACAAAAGGAAAAGAAAAAGAAAAAGAAAATGGAATCTTCATAAAATCTCCAAGGAATAGAACAGTGATCTGGAATGGTAATGAGACAGTTTTTGGGACAGTGCGAGTGGCGAGACAAATTTGGGGACCATGCATATAGGTACACAAAACTTTAAATGTTAAATTCACATGTTACTTATCAACCCAGCAGACCACAGTTTGAAAGGGGATATGCTACCTAACAATTATTCTTTCCCCACTTCAGTAATTGAAGCCAGATAGTCCAAACTCTTGAGAGTTACAATTAGATATCTAGAGAATTGAAACTAGGATTCATTAGATTAACCTAATTATTGGAATGTAAAACAGAAGAAGAATTTACCAACCCCAGAAGGACCAATCAGGGAAGACAATATCCATGGTCCATCTATCACCACAGTATCGAAACAATGGTGGTGGAGCAGTGGCATTAGGATCACGGTAGTCGCGTGATCTGATGACCGGCTTGTCGTTGCAGTCAAACATCAACTCCAAGTCCGGCAACATCCCCGGGTACCTCCTCAGAAGCTGCAGAATCCCCCATAAAGTGAACACATCTCTACTCTGTATTGACTTCTTGTACTTCTCCACATAAACCTTCCCTTTCACTATCACCACCCTAAAATGTGCCGTCGTCTTTGCTCTCTCCACCATGTCTCTGCTGATCCCAGTCGCCTTAAATGGCTTCAAGTCTTCATGAATCCAACGAAAATACTCCGGACATGTAGAATTCGAATCATTTGATGATGCCTCATCATCATCTTCAACTCTGAATGTTGTAGGGTAATTGGATGGACATGTTTGAGTAAGATTTCCATTGGAACAGTTGAGTGGAAATTCAATTCTCTTTTTGTTTTCTTTGGAGATAACTATTGCTTTCTCAATTTCATTACTAACCATAAGAGTAGACTGCCAATCCCAAAAATAAATTTAAATAAAAAAAAGTCAACTACAAATATATTATTTCAAGATCTAACCCTGAAAGAAGATATTAAAATAAGATGGTGGGACTTACAGAATTGATCCAAGAAGAAGAGATGAGTATGCCAGAGATGACGATGAACAAGAAGAGAAGAGTAATAGTTGTTGCAGGACCTTTGTATAGTGTTGACTTCAATATTTGTGTGCTTGAGATGTGTCTTCCAATCCCTGTTTCCCTCCATACAGTGCTAGAAAATCTCTGCATGCTTTTGAAAATCCCAATACCTAATAAATCTTACTCTTTTTGGACATAAAAAAGAGGAAGAAGAAGAAGCATACCTAACCTTTTTAATTTTGAAGTACTGAATTATAGCTTCACAATCAGAGATAGAATATACTCTACTCAGTACTTTTAATTAGTTAATAGGTTCAAACCATCACTGGTCATCAATTATTGGTGAACTATTTTTTTTGGTCGGAAGGACAGGGAAATTAGGGAATGGAACAGAGTGAAGAAAAGTCAGAGTAAGCCGACAGTGAAGCTTCTTTTCGTGGCGCATTGTCCCACTGTCTTTGCGGTGACCTTACGAAACGGATATATATTATATATTTCAATTTATAATTTTTTTGGGAAAATTACAAATACATAAACTAAGGTTAAGCATTTTACAATAAGGCGAAATTAAACTAATCAAATTACAGTCAAGTGAAGCTATAAAATTTGTTGCGCGGATATGAACTTTCACTTTTCATTATTTTGCAATACTTTAGCGGCCTTTTTTACAGTTGCGTTGAATGACCCAATTGCCCTCGCTTACTTTATAATATTGTGGAATGTAATAAGTTTAGGTCTAGTTTGCTAAGCATGAATGGAATAAAATGGAATGCTCCCTTGTTTGGTATGACTAGAGCTGGGATTTGGGTGAGACTAACTCGAGCAATCCGATTCCTGCCCGAAAATTTTACAGCCTGGGCAATATACTTGAGATCATGGGACGGGATTGGGTTTAAACTTTAGAGTTTGAATTTATTTTGGGTGGGATTTGGGACTAGATTTTACTAACCTGAGCAACCCAACACGAAATACAAGAAAAATATATAATTTTTATATTTTTAATGTTATATGTTGCATTGTTATTTAATTTTGGACAATACTTGCCTATTCACTGGTGATTAGAAAGTACATGCTTACTCCTGATGTGGCGCAAAAGTAATGTGACAAGTGTCCCTAAAATAGAAAATAATAAAAATTAAAAAATTTGAATGCTTACCGTCAACCCATATGAATGCAAATCAAATCCTAATTTAACTCTCATTCTCTTTCTCTCTCTCAAACTATTCCGCTGAAACCCTGATCTTTTCACTAATAGTGAAAGTTTTGACTTTTATCTTTCATGATTTAATGTGTAATCCTTATATATATTTATCAATTATTTTTATATAAAGTACACCAAATTACATAAAATATGGTTGATATGGTTTGATAGATGATTTGTTGATTGCAGGATAGATTGTTATTGCTTATTTATGATCTTCTTTTTCTTTTGGTTAAAACAAATATCTATGTATCATTACATTTATAGTTATTCTTTCTATTCATCATCCAGAGTTTTGTTTGTATCTTGTAATATTATTTTATTTAAGAATTTTAGCTTAAAATGTTTTTGTCGATAAGATCCCTTTCTCATTCACTCCATAGACAAAAAGAGTAGCATGAGAGAGAGGAAGAGAGTTAGATTTAGATCATATTGGGTTTAATCCGGATGACCTCTCAAAATTTTTAATTTTTATTATTTTATATTATAGGAACACGGATTGTTTTAAATTTTAAGGTAAAAAATAGAAAAATTTATAGTAATTGAATTTAAGTTAAAGGAAACAATATAATAAAGAATATAAGATTTAAGTTCTCTCCAAATTAAGTGCCACGAGTTTCCAAATTCTATTAACATCTCAACCCATGTCAAGTTTACATTTGCAAATTATATACTTTTAACTTTTTAAAATGTTTATTTATTAGTAGGATACTGCAATTTGGGATGACTCAAGGAATCAAAAAACCAGTGAAATTGTAGGGATGGTATGGGTTGAGATGTGATGGGCTTCTAATGATTTGGATTTGACACGGATTGAGATGTTAGAACCTTGGGTTTGGCGTAGACCAACCCCTTGGCCCACCTAACCCGCCCAAGTTCCACCTCTTAGTATTACATTTTATAAAATGAGAATGATTATTCTCTCTGAATGAAAATCCATTTCAATGAGTGAAAATCCATTCCACTTCAACCACCGCCTCCCGCCACCACCATGGCCTTACACCACGACCACTTAGAATTGTGATTATCAATTTATTCCAACATCATTTTATATTTGTAACCAAACAAGAGAATGATAATGATCATTCTATTTCATTCTCATTATCATTTGATTTTTAGTTTCATTCCATTCCATTCAATTTTATTCTCGCGTACCAATCTAGGGCCTTAGTGAATGACGTAAAACTTTCAAAAAAATATATTTTATGGTAAAAAATAATTTGTTAATGTTTTCACTTTAAGTAATTTCTTTGCCCTTTTAGTGAGAGCTTTCACCAAAATTATATAAATTTTTACAAATCTCATTATTAAAATAATTTGTTAATAAAGTTCACTACAGTAATATTAAATGTTTACAATGTAAAAACGTAAAACTTTTAGGAGGATATTATAGTTAAAATGGTGAGGGGATCGGAAAACTCCAGCTCGTGGCATTTACAGCAACGCAGCCAATGTATTAAATAGTTGAATCCTTAATCTAAGATAAATCAGAGTGAAAACTCCAAAAAGGAAAAAAGGATTTCAAGTTCCTAGTGTAATAAAATTGTTTACCATCAATCTAATGTTGTTGATCTATCGCTTAATTCTCACTAACACCATCCCAATATTTCTTCTCCCATGTCTCCACTTGCTTTATACCATTTGTTTGTCTCCTAACAAAGCCTTCAAGAACTTGAGGTTCGTATGGAGGCATACTGCAAGGGCTTGTAATGGAAGGACTTTTCACCATGGATTCCATCATAAACTTCTTCACCAACCCTTCTGCACGGCACGCCATTGTCTCCGAGCAATACTCCACCGCTCCTTCTGGTATTTCAGGCTTGAATTTCAACAGCTTCGCGTATTCGTTTAACAAATGAAACATGTAGTCATAGACATAATCCATTTTCAGCTCTTCTTGAATGAACTCACTCGCAGTTTTTCCAATGGCCCGTGCCTGCTAAGTCTCTAGTGAATCAGAGTTTGCACCATTTGGAATAAAAATCAGCTATGAAAAATTAAATATTCAATCCCGAAAAAAATTACCTTTTGTTTGTGATTATTTCCCCAGTCTACAGCAAATTTAATGGACCTGCATTTGTCATCATCTCTTATCGGCCAGTAATGGTGCACCGGCTGTAGACTTCTTGTGAAGAAGTCATAGTAATGTGGTCTTACTAGCAATGCGACTGAATCACAGGCTAGTATGTACTTTTCACTTACAGACCATGCAGATCCTTCAATATAGATCTTGTACCTATGCACATTATACATTATAAGAGAACGAAGAGGAAGAAAAAACCAGATTGGAATAAAGTTGAACAAGAAAATTTTAATAGGTATAGTTTTAAGACCAAAATCAGGACTTAAGAACTATATATATATATATATACCTGTAAGTGCATTGACTTGCTAAATTTGACTGCTTAAAACCTTGTTTAATTTCCTGATTCCAATCCTGCAAATTATACTACTTTCAAGAGGCGACCGAGAAAATCCAAAATCTGAATTGTTTTTACAGACCATTTATCACAGGTTCAAAATCCCAATACAGAACTTAAGGACTAGTTCAGATCAGAGACAGTAGACAATATTCACAACAAAGTAATAATTGAAAAATAAAAATGACCTGTACGAATAGGCGAGCATTCCAGTCTTGTTGATCGGAGACATTACACTTGATGAGGTCTTGCCTGGCCAGAGAAACAAAAGGGTTCCCTTTCCAGTAGGCAAATGGTTCCCTTTCCATCCATTTGGTCCTCTCGTTGCCTTCTTTTAGCTCCTTTAAAATTCTCTCCCATGGCTTTATGTTTAATTCAGCCCTATTAAAAACCGTATCACCCAATTCTAAGGTAAATAAGCTCAACAAATGATAAAAAAATTATTGGAATGTAAAACAGAAGAAGAATTTACCAACCCCAGAAGGACCAGTCAGGGAAGACAATATCCATTGTCCATTGATCACCACAATATCGAAACAATGGTGGTGGAACAGTGGCATTAGGACCAGGGTAGTCGCTTGATTTGATGACCGGCTTGTCACTGCAGTCAAACATCAACTCCAAGTCCGGCAACATACCCGGATACCTCCTCACAAGCTGCAGAATTCCCCACAGAGTGAACACATCTCTAGTCTGTATTGCCTTCACATGCTCCGTCACATAAACCTTCCCCTTCACTATCACCAACCGAAAATTTGACCTATCCTTCACACTATCCACCATGTCTCTGGTGATCCCAGTGGCCTTAAATGGCTTCAACTCTTCATGAATCCATTGAAAATACCCCGGGCATTTACAATTTGATGGTAGCTCGTCACCATTTTCAACTCTAAATGTTGTAGGGTAGTTGGATGGACATGTTTGAGTAAGATTTCCATTGGAACAGATGAGTGGAAATTCAGTTCTCTTTGAAAACACTCTGTTTTCTTTGGAGACAACTGTTCCTTTCTCAATTTCAATCCTAACAGAAAAAGTAGACTGCTAATCCAAAAACAAAAAAAAAAAAAAAACCACCGTCAATGTGTAGTTAAATTATTGGAAAAATAACTGCACTACTACAAAGATAATATATGTTTCAAGATCTAACCATAAAAGCAGATATTAAATTGAAGGAGTGGCCGACCAAATTCAAATGTGTCAATTCATTGTCCCCAAATGCAAGGTTAGACACTAAGGGCCCTGTGGCATCTCTGCTATTTATTTATTAAAGTGGATTATGAGAGTTCGAGTCGCTAAAGGAGCAAAATGGATGTGTATGAGTTTTCTGGTTGGATTCATTTAATAAATTTACAATTATACCCTTGTTCATAGATCGTCTTTTATAAAAAACAAGGGCAAATTTGACATTAAAAAAAGTTTTCTTACAAATCCTAACCATTCTCTCCCTTTCCTACCATTTTTGGAAAATAACAAAAACTACTACTTATTGTATCCCTCTAAATATTTCATTTTCCTTTCAACATTTTATACCAAACACCATTTCTCATCTCCCACCATTACAATTCTTTTCCTTTCCTTTCATTTCCTTTGTACCAAACCGGCCCTTAATATGATAATGATAGAAATGGTTTTAAGGTTTTGAGACTTACCAATTTGATCCAAAAAGAAGAGATAAATATGCCAGAGATGAGGATGAACAAGAAGAGAAGAGTAGTAATAGTTGCAGGTCCTTTGTATGGTGTTGGCTGCCTTCCACCAAGTCTTGTTTGCCTCCATTGAGTGCTAGAAAATCTCTGCATGCTTTTGAAAATCCCTGTATCTAATAAATATAACTACACTGTTTTACACATCAACAAGAGAAAGAAGAAGCATACCTAACCATATCTTTTTATTTCCAAGTGTTGAATTATAGCTTCTTCGCAATCAGAGCTCTTCAGTTTATTGTTTTCTGATTTGAAGTGCAGGTATGGAACAGAGTAAAGTCAAGGGCAAGTTTTTAAAACTTCTTTATTACACAAGTTTTGAATTGGGCCTATTTATTTTTATGTTAGTGGTCTATTTATTTGGATTTTATTAGGCTTATTTATGTTGGCCTATTTATTCTATTTATTTTGACTGTTTACTTGATTTATTGAGCCTATTTAATTTGATTGTTTCAAACTCTTAGGGCTTTGCTTGCTTATTTTTTTTAATTTTTGTCAACTAAAATTAAGTTATTGAATCTTCAAAGTAGAAACTTTTTTTTTTTTTTCACACACCTACCTTTTTTGTTTCTTTTGAAACTCGAATACGCACCATCCACTTTAAGAAGTAAATGAGATACTAGTTGGATATTAATATAGCTTTGTCTACCACTGGGAGACCAAAAAGTTATATAGAAAAATATAACCTTTACTCCTATAAATTAAACCAATAAGTTATTTACTCAAAAAAAAAAAAAAAAAAAACCCATAAGCAGCTATTACTAGTTTACCAAGCAATGATTCTTGTGAAAACCAAAATGTTGATCACATCAACTTAAAATTAATCGAGTTATGATAAATATATCTACAAGTGAAGTAAACCAAAACACAGAGCTGTGAGCCTCACCACAACATTTGTTGTGATGGGCTCACAACTCTGTATTATGGCGGAACCAAAAATCTCTGTCTCTATCAATTAGTTGTAGTGTAAACACTAATCACAATGAATTATGATATGTGCCAATGTTTTGCAATTCAACCTAACATGCTTTACAACTTGAATTGCATATGCAAAGTGCTCAAAATCAGATACCTTTGTACTTGTATTGTCTTTAAAGAGCCATGTTGAATGGTCAACAAAGTTTTGGTCAATAGTGTGATGAAATCTTTACTTATTTAATTAAAAATAGATTCTCCCTATGATATGAGCTAGATTTAGTAGAACAATACCACGAGGTCCAAAAAAAAAGTGGTCATTTATTCAACATCAAATTCATAAGAATATAAATTAACTTAAATGTAAATACCATTAATTAGACAATAACAGCACTTCATTTCACACACTAGTGGGTGGTACAGTAATACCAGTGTTTACATACATGCACAGACACAGACATAGTATATTACTGGAAACTGGTGTTTACGTAAATTTTAATTAAGTTTAAAAAATGTAATTATTTGCGCAACTTTCCAACGAAGAAAAAGCATGAGAAAGTGGGTTTTTTCTCTCACCATGAGAAGAGAATCTTGAAAGACGCACGAAAAAGGCTTTCATTTTTGAAGAGTGATGTTGACTACCTAGGGTTCCTGTTGATTAATTTTTAGGAATGTTCACAACTATATATAAATGCCATGACCATCATAACTTTCTATAACTTCTTCTCAATTTCTCTTGTATTTCTTGAATTTTATCATCGCACGGTCCTCAAATGGCACAAGTATGTTCTATTAATTAAGTTTTTCGCATTCCTCTATTTTTAGTCCTCTGTTTATTTGCAAATTTTTGTTTAGCAAATTATAAGAAAATCATTGATTTAGAGAGTAATGTTCTGTTTTCTACTCTGCTCTTGAAAATTATAGAAGAAAGTGGTGGTGAAGATGATGACCATGACCGATGAAAAGACTAAGCAGAAGGCCATAGAGGCTGTTGCTGACATTTTAGGTATGTATTCGTCAAACAACTTCCATGAAGCTGTCATTATTTTGCTCGAAGAAACCAAAACATACTTCAAATTTATACTTGATATTTCATTCCATATTTTTTCTCATAAATTTTAATTCAGATGGCACTTCAATTGTTCGTGCTTCAATGATTTCAAGGCTAGCTAGTACTTAGATATATGACTATTGAAATGTATATATGAATATTTTACAGATCGGATTTAAGGGAACAAATGCTTTAACATTTTCACATAATTGATTTGTGTTCATTCTTTTCACGATCAAGAGAATTTTTCAAGCATTTTTAAAACTGCAACTGTGTGTTTTGTCCAACAGGAGTGGATTCAATTGCAGCGGATATGAAGGAGCAGAAGCTGACCATCATAGGAGAAATGGATACAGTTGCATTAGCAAAAAAGCTGAAGAAAACAGGAAAAATAGACATAATATCAGTCGGCCCGGCTAAAGAGGAAAAGAAAGAGGAAAAGAAGAAAGATGAGAAGAAATGATAAATGGTTAACCATGCTTAATCATCATTTTCCAGTACCTGGTTTACTTTTTTATTTTTTATTTTTAATTATTATTGTCGACATATAAAATGGAAAATGTTAGTCCTGTCTCCATCAATCCGCGTAGGTAGGATTTGTAAAGTATAGTTCTCATGAGTTTGTTTATGCATATATCAATTTATGAGCACTCATTTGGAATTTGAACAAATCCTATGTATGTTTGGTGCTTCTAATTAGTGGACTGCTAGAATAAGTCCCACAACATAAAAGTAAAATTATTAAATTTACTTTTATTATTAGAATGCAGTTGATCAAATTATAATGGATCATAAAGATATATATATGCATGAAATTAGAAAAACAAAACACCTAAAGATCACTATACTTGGGTCATTCTCCAATATGTCCACTAGGGATGGCTTTTTATTGAGGAAAAGTTATGGTTCTGTGCCACTTTATTGGTATGATGAAAGAGAGGACAGAGGAGCAAGACAAAGCTGCAGCAGTACGAATTAGTTTTAGGTATGATACGTCAACCTCATTTGTAATATGTAAGAAACAACAAGAACAACGAGATAAAGAAAATTTTATCTTGAAATGATTTTCACATATTCCATAGATGTGAAGTTAATTGGGAGATCAAGAACAATGAGATAAAGAAAAATTTATCCTGAAATGATTTTCACATATTCCATAGATGTGAAGTTAATTGGGAGATCTATGTATTGAAGCAAAACATGCAAAGTCTATTCCTGGTCTCTTAATAGATCTGAAGATTCTGAAACAGGTGCATAAACATATATACCTTTTCATCCACGTATATGTTTGTATGCACACACACGTGCAGCAAAAACAGACTGCTTACTACAATCGTGTCTGTTGCAACTGCTAGCTACAGTTGCCACGGCGCCTAACATTTCTCATGCGAGCAACAATGAGTTGTGCACTAAGTTACACAATCCTTCTCAATAGGTGTCATTCTTACGTTCCGAGCGCACTCCCGTTCTCACTCTCCGCGCGCGCTCTTGCTCAAATTCTCACTACTTATGACTTAATTTTGCCGTTCTCACGTTATCATTCTCCAATTCATTCTCATTCCCCTCCCCCTCCCGCTCCTGCTTTATGTGATTTATATTATTACCTTTTTAGTAAGCATAAAGGGAGGAGAAGTATTCTTTTGTCCCATCCATAATGAGTCATAGGGCATGACTAAATCTGATTAAGGCCTTTAAAATTTAATGTCCCCACTCCCCATCGTGACATAAGATTTGGAGCAGCTCTAATATGGTTTTGGTTTCATTATTAAATTTAGATATATCACGAAAAAAGGCAATCTTCCTGTATTTTTCATATCTAAATACAATTAATTCTGGATGACAGACTAAAATTCATACAAAACATTACAAGTAAAGTCATGTTGATCTATCACAAATACAACCAAATTTTCTACTATAGATATAAAGATTAGTCCTAGTCCGGAGATTTTGATTCCTCAAAAGATAGATCATGAACGAAACTTTTTGTAGATAAAGCATTGCTGAGCTTGTCTTCTTTTAAACAGATTCTGAACATTAATTTCAAAGTATATATATTCTAATAAAGTATAAACCACTTAATTAATAATGGTCACTCTGGTCGAAATAGCTTCCAAAACATCCATTTCATGATTTGTAGGCAAGCAACAAGTGAAACACACACACACTATTTTTCCATTGCGGTAAAAGAACATTATTTTTTTTGTCATTATTGATAGGTAGTGTGGAGCCTGATAAATACTGTACATTCAAGTCTAATTCTACGATTTTTTTGGAAGTATTTTGATCATTTTCATATTTATTATGTTGCCCTAGTGAGAGGATATTTATTTATTCTGAACTCTCTATATCTAATATTATTTTGATCATCATAGTAAAATCCTTATAATCCCTTGGACGTAACTTGAATTTTGGATGAATATATCAAGTAAATTTGTGTGTTCTTGTTGGCCTCCACGTCCCGGTTCAGGAATTTTAATCCAATTTCTTTTTGAAGTTTGCGCAAAACGCGCTATCTGACGGGCTTTCCTCGCTTGACGCGGTATAAAGAAAATAAAATATCAATATTAACACCTTCCCCAATCTAAACGCCTAGACAACACTTCACAACTTTTCAAAATTACCATCGCAGGTATGATATGATATGTGTGTGTGTGTGTGTGTGTGAAGAAGAAGGTGATATATTTATGACTTTGTATGGTTATGGTGTATGCATCATAAGACAGCTCATTTTGGAGAGGCTGCTGATGTGTATGCTTGTGTCGGTGCGAATGAATGAATGAATTTATGATAAATTAGCAAAGGGAAACGTGTAGTTTAATTAATTTTGTTGCTTATAAAAACAAAGGTCTGAGAATAGAGATGGTACTTATTTCCAATTATTTAGGATCACATTTTCTTAAGAAAATGCTCTTGAAACACAAGGTTGATAATAAATAATTAATGTTGTACCAGCTCCATTGGTGATTGGTCTGAAGTCTGAACAGAGTTCTCATTTCATTTTTTCTTTTTCTAAGTCCTAAATACTAGTAATTGTTAATATATATATATATATATATATATATAATACAAGAAGACAACGGGCAGCGATCCAGTGATGTCAAGTTCTAATTTTTTTAAAGGGAGGTAAGGGGTTCAAGCTTTTGTGGAAGCATATGTATGTAAAAACCAACTCAGAAAAAAAAAAAATTAAAATATATATATATAGGGGTGGAGCCAGTGCTGCAAAACTTTGAAAAATAATTATTTTTAAAAAAATGAAAACATAAGATATCGACCTTAAGAGTCCTTTTTAGCAATAAATTTAATTACCAAACTTTGAAGAGAAAAAAAATATATATAGTTTGAATAAAGGAATAACTTTTTTTTTAAAGAGAATATAAAAAAGAAGAAGAAGAGAAGTAAGAATGAAAAGAAAGGAAAAATTAAAGATATTTTTAAAAAATAATTATTTTAGTAGGCATTTTTATAAAAATTTATAAATTATAGGCCTATTGCAATAAAATTTTAATTGGCCCAATAATAATTATTTCAGGGAGCACTTTTCATTTTTTTTATAAATTATTAGCTTATGTGCAATAAAAGTTAATGGCTGGGTCCGCCCCTAAGTATATATACACCAGAAGACCAATCAATCCAAGTAAGCTAAAAAAAAAAAAAAAATCAAATATCAAGAAGACATTTCTGGAATGTGAATCAGTGAAAATGTAGTATCAGACACTTCAACAAAATGCGAACACAAACTAAATATTGTATTCTCCATAATTGAATTTACAAATATTAAATAAAATATTACAAATTTACAACAAAACCTAAACAAACTTAAACATGAATATTTGTAATATCTAAATAGCAGATGATCCAAATTGGCCTCTATGTCTTATTCAGACTTTGTGCATGGAAACTTGTATCACGAGTGATTCCACCACTCACGCAAAAATTAGTCAAAAAGTTATAAAGTCCATAGGGGCTGCTGCGTACGTGAAAGAGGGATGCCCCAACAGAGACGGGCTTGAATAATCTAGATGCACAAATAACCTTATATATATACATTCAATTTTGATGCATATGCACTTAAATGTGGTCACTTTTTTTTTTTTTTCTTCCACAAAATGTGGTCACATTGGTCCACTCTATATACCCTCATACATAGAGCAAAACAAATGTAATGACCAAAGAGCCCTTAATATTGTGCAGACATGGCGGCTACATTGGTCACCATCACAAAGTTGAATCATGCACCCAATTAATCTGGAAGGAATTTGAAACCACAAGCTCTTATTTTCTTATTTATTATTATTATTATTTCTTTTTTGTATTAAATGTCAACTTATCTTCTTATATTGAGAGAGCTCTTTTTCATATATATTTTTCTACATATATGGCTTCAAGAAGAGAAATATATACCATATGGATGCAGTCACTTGTATTCCATGGAAATGGGTGCACTGTGTACGATTCAAAAGGTGAAATTGTTTATCGTATCGATAACTATGGCAACAAGTGCTGTCACAAAGTCTATCTCATGGATCTTCATGGCGAAGTTTTATTTTCTATTCTACAAAAAAAGGTACCAAACAATGAGTGGAACAAGGCTTTTTTTTTTTTTTTTTTTTTTTTTTTTTTTTTTTTTTTTTTTTTGTGTCTAAATTGCAAATTGAATATATATATATATATTCCATTATTTTCTATTTGTTTTTGCAGAAGCTGGGAATTTTTGGATATTGGGTTGGCTACAAATGGAGTGGGTGTAAAGTGAAGAAAGAGAGTCGACCATGTCTAAAAGTAAGAAAAGATTGGAGGATTCTGAGGAGAGACATGAGTTGTGATGTTAGGTTGGGTTGTGATGAAGCCAAAGCAAGCTGCAGCTACAGGATAGTAGGATTGGCTGGCAAATCAACATTTAAGATTATGGACACCAATAACCAACTCGTTGCAGAGGTACGTACGATTTTGCATGTACATGTGTTCTGACTTCTGGGTGGGACCCAAATTCTCTCCGGTGAGTTACCGTGGTCGCCTTCCATTCAGTTAATAAAATAGGTTACAATAAATGGTAACTCACAAATATTATGATACAATTTCAAACTTCACAATATTATAGTATCATTTATTATAATGTATTTCACTAATTAGAACGAGCAACACTGAACAATCATGATTAGTCACACGTGTCGCATAATCACATGCAGGGACGGAGCCATAAATTATGTTCGGGGGCACAATGCAATAAAAATTTTAAAGTAGAAAAATTTTAAAGAATTATATACATCCAAAAATGAAGTTTTTTAAAGTTGAGGGGGGAAACTTAAAATTTTTAAATAATTATATATACAAAAATGAATATTTTTAAAGTTGAGGGGGTGGAATTTTAAAATTTTAAAGAATTATACATAAAAATGGGGGAATTTAAAATTTTAAAGAATTATACATAAAAATAAATAAATAAATAAAAAATTAAGTTGAGGGGGGCAATTTTAAAATTTTAAAGAATTATGCATACAAAAATAATTTTTTTTTTTAAAGTTGAGAAGGTTGTGCCTCCAGTCTTTACCGGTCTGTACTTGATCACATGTATAGTGATCGATATTGGTCAACTGCAGTAGGCAGAGAATTCTGGCTCATGTTACATTATGTATAGAAGTAACTTTTATTTCAATTAGTTAGCAGAGGTCTCTCATGTTTCTGTTCTGCCACGAAGAAATACAGTTTGGAATGATCCACGGATTTTTATATGGTTAAATGCAATCAAATTCCCTAACTATGTTTCAACAGATTGATCTTTTTTTATATTCGCACTTTTTTATATTCGCACTCTAATCTTACAGAAATGACAATTCTAACTTTAACTTTACAAGTAAATGATTTTTATTTTTTAAAATGACACAATTATCCTTTCAAATTTCTTCTTTGTGTCTCTAATATTTACTACTATTTTAGGTCTCTTTTAACAAGACAAAAAAAAAAATTATTTTTATTGAATAAATTTATTTATTTTTGTTTTGTTTTGTTTTATAAACTTTGTGTGTTTTGACCGAACTGAAAAAAAAAAAAAAAAAAGAAAAAAAAAAAGAGGTACCCAATAAAAAATTTATCTCTTTTGATAGAAAAAAACTCTAAAAAACAAAAAAAAAATTATTTAAAAAATTATCTCTTTTGTCAAGATCCAAAAAAAAAAAAAAAGAGTTATTTCTATTGAATTAAGGACCAATAAAAAAAAGTACCTCTATACCTGAAAAAAGTTAACTTTGTTGAATAAATTACTTGTTTTGATTTAACCAACAAAAAATGTATAGCACATGAAAAAAAATAGTAAAGGAAGTAAAGAAGGTATTAAAAAAAAAACAAAAATCAAAATTATAAAGGTAGTTATGACATTTTAAAATAAGAGATGATAGATTAATAAATTTAAGGACTTTCTTGTTATTTTTTTTTAAAAGAAATAATAATAAAAATAAGTGAAGTGTAATTGAAAAAAGTGGAGTGTCAGTATTTTCTCCCAAAAAAATTTGCACTTGATTAGTTGCCCGGTTAAATAAGGTAATAAATGGTTAAGAGAAATATGTTATTGAGCATAAAGTATATCTAGGAACCAGTATGGTATGGTCATAGACTCATAATACACTGTAACGATTTGGGCAAATTTTTTATTTAATAATTGATATATTTTCTATTTAATTACATATTTCTCTTATATTTTGTGTTATATATGTGAACAGCTGGAATAATTTGGTTTTGTGCAGGTAAAGCAAAAAGAATCTACTTCAGGAGTTTTGTTGGGAGATGATGTATTAACATTAGTGGTGGAACCCCAAAGGGATCATTCCCTAGTTATGGCTCTTATGACTGTCTATGGATTGATTAATCAAAAAATGTGAATTATTAACATCACCACCATTGCTGCTGATCATGCATGAGCTTCTTAGACCTGATGAAAATAATTTATTTGTAATGTGAAAACAATGTTTTGTTTTCTGAGCGATCGGATGAGTAGGAAAATGAAAAGATTATTAAATATATAGCTTGTGTATATCAGATGTGACTGTATATAGCTTGTGTATATCAGATCTGATAGTATTGTTCGGAAGATAAAAGGTCAGACCTTTAGTGTTTCCTATAACTCTAGAGTTGATTCCCAGTATATATATATATATATACATATAGGATAATGGTTTGGATCTGTGGACAAATTGTGTCCTGCACACTAAAGTGTAACAATAAGAGGTTGACATCTCTTTTAAACTTAAAAAGATACAAAATATGGGTCATACCTATTTTTTAGGATTAAACTCGACAGAACTATTTTTTCCCACTCTTTGCTACCTCCCATTTGTGTATCTCAGTTCGTCTCATCTTTCTTTTTCCTTAACTCTAGCCGCGGTCATTATAAACCTAATCTTCCCTACCAGGACCTTGACCACTCTGCTTTAGACTGGATTTCGATTTCGTCTTAGCAATAATTGATTTATTTATGTTATTTTTAATTTTCTTAAGATAGAAAACCATCCTTTCAAAAGTTTGAACTAACCATTTATATTTATCCATTTTCAAAATTAAAAGAAAATACATTCAATAATAGGATTTGGAATGATTGGTGGCCGAAGGTAAGGGAAAAGAAAGATGTGGATGATAGATAAGATAGGGCGGACCAAAGAGGGCGAAAAAAAAAAAAAAAAAAAAAAAAATAGACATATGGGTTAATCCTAAAAAAAAATGAGGATAATACATGTTTTGTATTTTTTTAAGTTTAAAATAAGTGTCAACTTCTTATTCAGACACGTTAATGTGTTGAACAAAATTTGTCGGGATGAATTTTAAATTTAAAATAAGTGTCAACTTTTTATTGTAACAAGTTCATGTACGGGACAAAATTTGGTAATTCTGATGAGGTAAGACTGAAGTTTTATCCATATATATAAATTGATTAATGAATCATGGTACACAACTTATAAAAACTATATTCATTAACAATAAGCTTGTCCTTTTATCATCATAACAAAATGGCCGCTATCGTCGCGTCCAATTTTGGCATCTTTTTGCCATTGGTTTGACTTGTTTGTAAAATGGAAATAACATTTTCTTTGAAAAGAGTGGAAAAATCAATAGCACGAGAAACACTATTTGACACATTTTTCTTTGAAGGAATGTGAGTTGAGAGTTTGAGACACCTATAATGGACCACAATTATAACACTTCCCTTTCAAGGAAAATTAGTTGAAACATCCTTGTATGGCCACATAAGTTCACACACACGCATTCAAAACCAAGTACATATTCCATAAAACAATTGGTAAATTTTTCTCCAAGTACAAAATAATTTATATGCATCAATTGCGTAAATTTTTACAGATACTTACACTCATATATTGTTTCGGTAACAAAGTTGACATTGCCATAAAACATCATCATTTATTTAGTTTGAATATCATTCACAACTACGCGTTCTTAATCAAAATTCTCTCTGTTGAGAGATTTTTGTAGTTTGGAGAAGTTCATTATTATCAATATTAAATTTCATTAACATAATAATAGGGTGAAATGGCAGAATTTTACTTTTTTGAAATTACACTTACCTCTTCTGAGGTTTGGACAAATCTCACGTGAGTAGAGCGTTTGAGATTCTATTACTCTAGCCTCCCTTAAGATTATTAAAAAGTCAATTATACCCTTATATGAAATATATTTTTATAACACAAAAATATATTGTAAAATCTTAAAAAATCAATTATTCTATCTCATCTCACCTATCACTTTCTCTCTCCTCTTCACTACAGTTATCCTCTCTTAAAAAATATCTTATAAATTAATAAAAAAAAAAGTGTAAGTGCAACTTGATCATTTTATGAAATTTTTTTACAAGTTTTAATATAGAGAGGAGGTTATTTAGCATATACCCAAATCTCAAGGGAGGTCAAAATAATAAATTTTAAATGCTTCATTTGTGTGAGATTTGTCCAAACCTTAAAAAAAAAAAAATAAGTATAATTTATCCTAAATTTTACCCACTAAACGAAATGGTAAATTTCTCTCACCCGACAAGATTTGGATTCCTCTTTAGCTAGCTAGCTAGCAACCCACAGAAGTCAAATATTTGGACTGACTAAAAAACAATTCGAGTAAAACATAGCCAAAAGGTATTTTCATGTGGAGAGAATTTCTTGTGTACAACACATGTACGCTAGCTTTACCCAATTAACTGTTACTGAACTTTCCAAGTCTTCTAACAATAGCCAAACCGAGATTTTCTTATTGTTGGTTTTTGAATAATGTGCTTAGTACTTAAACAAATACTAATACAATTGTTCCTCTTCTCCATTACATCAACCAACACACTCATTTCCCCATTTTTATTGTTTAATACTTCTTAATATGGATAAGAATTAAATACATGACAATTTTAATATTTATACTCATATACCGAGTCATACGGTAGTCATACCTAATAAACTATATACATTATTTTTACACTCATTACACACCTTAAACATGAGTATATGTGATACTCATGTAAACAATTTAGTATTTAATACCCTGCAGTATAGTATTCCAATATTTTAGTTTCACGAGGGGAACAATCATTGACTTATTTATTTAATATGTTGAAGCTTCATAGCAAGTGTGTTGAACATATGAAAGGACTAAAGTTCTCTTCTTCATCTACAAGCAGATTATTTTTTCTTGTCTTTCAGATGGCTAAGGTCTATCCTAACACACCCTGTACTCCATCTTCTTCACACAGAGATACATATACTATATATATGAAATCGCTTGTGCTACGTGGAAATGGATGCACAGTCTTCAATTCAAACGGCGAGATCGTTTATCGAATCGATAATTATGACAGCAAGTGTTGCAGTGAAGTTTTTCTCATGGATCTCAAAGGCAGAGTCCTCTGCACCATACTGCGAAAGGTATGTACACACACAAACACATAATATGAAATTACATGTAGTTTTTTTAATGTTGAAACTCGAAGCTATTAATAATAGAACATAATTTTTTGCTTTTAATGAAAATTTGTGCAGAAATTGCTTGCTTTCGGGTATTGGGATGGATATAAGAGCAATGGCCATGAAGTCAAGAACGAGAAGCCATGGTTTCGAGTTCGAAAAAATTACAAGTTTTTAAACAGAGAATCAGCATGTCAAGTGACAATGGGGTGTGATGAAGCTCAAGCAAGTTGTTTTAGGATACAAGGAAATGCCAGAAAGTCGGAATTCAAGATAATAGATAATGAAGGAAGAGTTGTGGCAGAGGTGAGCTTCTTGATTACTTATGTTCTATATATATATATATATATATATATATATATATATATGTGGAGGATTATGATCATTATTTTTATTTATTTATTTTGGTGAAAATGGTAGTAACAGAGGTTTGTTTTGACAGGTAAAGCAAAAGCAATCATCTTCAGGAATTGTGTTGGGAGAGGATGTGCTAAGTTTGGTGGTGGAGCCTCTTGTAGATCCTTCCCTTCTCATGGCTCTTGTAGCTGTCTATTGTTTGATTGGTCGCAAAATGTAGGGTTTTGCCGATTCAGTTTTCTGAGAAGAGTTTTTTTTCTCACAAGAACTAGAGAAATCGAGAACAGTTGAAACCTCGTTTTTGGAGATCTTGAGAACTGTTCCAAAGCAACGATGGGAAGAAGCCCATAGTTTTTGGGTTTAAAAGGAAGACCGTCACATGAGGATCATTTTTATTCAAACACACACAAAACACGCACATATATATAATGGATTCCTATGGTTTTCTTGTGCATTCAGATGAAAGGGAGAATTTTTGTAGATAAAATTGACTGACTGCGACAGGAAAGATTTTCCATTTACACGTGTTTGTATTGAATATATATATATATTCATTCTTGATTATTATGATTTCATTAATTAGTCAATACTTGTTTTTTCCGTGTGTCCTCCAATGTAAATTTCCTTACAAAGCATATATATCTCTTATAATAATCAGTCTCGAATTGTTAAATAATATGCCCAAGGCAGTAGCCAGTAGGCTTCTTTATATATACTGTATATATCAGCAAAATGTGTTTGCTTAGGAAGACTTAAAACTGGCGCTAATAGATTCAACAGGTCTGCAAGAAACATAGAGCCGTTAATGTTCAACTTCAAATCCGACAATTGTAGGAGTTTGTTACAACCATTTACTCATAGTTCTGCAAGCAACACAGAAAACTGGCCAAGTTGAATTGTATTGACAAAAACCAATCTACAATGAAATTATAAAAACAACATGATCCAACACCAAGGAATATTGACCTATACGAGAAAACTACTTTGTAATATGTGAAATCTGTGAAAAACAAAATAGATAAATATATTACTGATATACACATTATTATTATTATTATTTTTTCTCTAGATAAGACACTCATGGAACTGTGGCATCTGGATTCTTCGCACTTGCACCCAGCTGTTATAACTTATGCAGTATCCAGTTTCTAGCGAAAATTTTAATTAGTTCTTTTTTGAATTCTTAAGGTTGCGTACCGTCATTACAAGCTGTTGTCTCTCACCCTCTACCTCTGCAAACTTGAGACTTATTTCTGAGTATCTCTCTTGCATATCCTTTAGTTCGCCTTCCATTGATTCGTTCCTCTCCTTCAGTAGTGACATTTCTTTTAATAATTCATTGGTATTTATGGCAGGTGCTTCCAGTTCTTTGTCATCACTGCAGCAGCAATAAAGAAATAGATTATCAGAAAATCATGAAATTGTTCCTAAAAATAGAGTAAATCTCAGTTTTGTGGCAATGGTCCTTAGCTGGATTAATCTAAAGTTAGTACCTCCATTTAGGAGCAAAAAGGTAGAGCAAAACCAGCTGAAGGAAAATGAAATTATATTCCATTAAGTGATACCTCTTCATCAATGACATTGTAGATGCATTTTTATTGGACATGCACCCTGTAGAGCTCAATTTTTCTACTGTATTTATCACTTCTTTTTGCACATTGCCATTCAGAGTAACGTCTTCCATATTGCAAGTTACCTGCATCCCAAGATTAAGCATTTCCGGTTACTGATTAACTAAATTATGTGTGGTCTCTGGAAGAAAATATTGATATTCGACCTAGACAGAAGTCCAACTAGACTACTTCAATATTTGAATTTGACAGAGAAAGTCACTTTACTAAGCCAAGCAGAAAATCAAATTGAAAGTAGGGCGTGTTTAGTTTTAGGTCTCCACCTTTCACACCTTCCAACTCAAACATAAATAAGGAATGCTAATAATGCCATTAATAACTTGATATGCTCAAAACAGTTCATGAACTTCACTACAACCACTTGTATACTAGTAAGCATCAGGTATGTGTTTTATTAAAAAATGCATGGTACTGGATCATTTGAACTGCAAAATTTCTAACCTTTGGAAATTCAAATTCATGGGAACTCATACTATTGTGATTGAGTTCTTCCAATCTTCTTTCTAACTCTTCAATTTTATTCTGAAGATCTTTCTCCTTCTCCAGAAATGAATTTGTCGAGGTTTCAAGAGCAGTTTCCTTCAGCATTATCTGAGCCTGCTCGTGATTAAAATATAGTTAGTACAACAAATCAGAAAATATCATACTTTCAGAAGCACTTGAAACTTGGTCAACACATCAGAAAAACATTTTCAATAAGACCAAAACATAAATCATATCCGAATGATTCAAAATATGATGGTCAGTCACAAAGGGATGTTGTCCATCTTGGTTTTCTAACAATACTTTATCTCTCACCAGCAATATCTTTGTTCCTCTATACCTGATTTACCATTAATGCCTAGCATGTTTCAAGTTAAACAATTTACTAAATGAAATTAAAATTTACCTCGAGCAATTTTATTTTGTCTTTCATACTTGCAACCTCTTTAGAACCACGAGGAACAGGAGCAGCTTTATTGTTTCTCATAGTTGCTTTCGCTCCATCAGAAACTGTTGCTCGACTGTTGCTACTGTTGAGCTTCTTCTCTATACTGCTGAATGCGTCCTCTTTCTTCTTTAGGTCACCTTTTAAATGAAATACCTGCTTCCTCAGTTTCTCTTTCTCTAATTCATCCTCAAGCAGAGAATGTTTTAAGTCATTACACTGAGATTTAAGAGTTTCCAGCTCCAATTGCAGATTTCCAACTATCGTTTCCTTTTCATCCTTTAGACTCCTCAAAATGTTCAACTCCTCCAGTGTTTTCTCTGCTTCCTCCCTCAACAAAGTGATAACGCTTTCCATCTCATTCCTTTCCAGATTCCCCCTTTGAACCAGCATTTCAGCTTCCTTCATAGATTTTTTCATTTGTTTCAATTCAGCTTCCAAGGTTTCTCTCCGTTCTGGCTCTTCAGAAAGGTTATTATTCTCTGTTGTGAGCATTTGAATCTTCGCTCTGAGCATTAGAATTTCTTGTGAGAGAACCCCACGAGTTTCTTCCTCATGCTTCTTTTGATATTCAAGCCTCGTAGACTTGTCTTCAATTTCTGACTGCATCTGTTCTATTTGATTGGTCATGGAGTTTATTTGGCTGGAATGCTCGTGCAAATTTGCTTCATAATGGTCCTTCGCAAACTGAAGCTCGTCCTTTGCTTTTTGAAGCATTTCTTCTAGATGAAATTTCTGCAGTTGGAGTTCATGGGCTTCTGTCATTGATTTTGTAGCCAGCTTCTCATTCGCTTCAAAAGTAGATGTCATTTGCACAGAAAGCCTTCTAAATTCCTCCTGAAGCCTCTCTGCTGTATTAGCATTTTGCCGTCGTGTCTTTCTCAAGGTTTCCTCTGCTTGTATGGCTCTCTGCTCCTGCTCAATTTTGGCACGTGTAAGAGCTTCCAGATCAGCTTCGAATCCTAGTGCTTGCTTCTCCAGTTCTTCCTCCAAACCCTTAACATGGGTTTTAAGTTCATTTATGGAAGCCAAAGAATCGGAAAATTCTTTTGACTGCTTCTTGAGTTCATTTTCCAAGTTTTCAACCTGGGTTTCAAGTTCATTTATGGAAGCATAAGGAGGCGAACATTCATACTGCATCTTCAGTTGTTCTTGCAGCTGACTTTGCTGTAGTTTATATGAGAGGTCATGGTTTTCCTGCGTCAAGATCTCATAGTCAAGAGCAAGCTGCTGCATCTGCATTTCTAGCTCATCTTTATCTCCCTTGTAGATCTCCAATTCACCATAAAGGTCCATGATCTTTTGCTCCAGTAAGTGTGCTTCCTTGGCATTGCTATGATCCTTAACAAGCTCTTCTAGTGCCTTCTGATCTTCATCGTATTCTGTTTCAGATTTGGAGTTGGTTTCCCATAACTCCTTGATATTCTCACTGGTAGCTGATCCCGATATTTCCATATTCTTCTGCTCCAACATTTCATCTAGGTCACGCACAGCAAGAATCAACTCGGAGTTTGATTCTTGTGTCTTCTGAAGTTGTAACCGAAGATTGGCATTAAGGTCCTTCTCATAATTTAGTTCTTCCCTGAGTTCTTCAAAAAGAGCCCTTGTATCCCCTCCCTCAAACTTCAACCTGTTTTCAACTTTCGCCACATCAGTACGTTTCCGGAATGCCTTGAGTTTTTCACATTCTTCCTTGAGTGCATCTCTCTCATCTTTGAGGCTACCAACCTCTCTTAAAAGATCCTGCCCCCTTTTGCCCTCCTTCACAATCTGCTTCCGCAGAGTCTGTAGTTCCAATTCGGACACTTCTGCCAGCCTAGCCAAACTAGAAATTTCAGTTTTGAGCTTTTCAACCATGATATCTGAAGTCTCTTGTGATCCTTCTATTAAAAGGGTGTCTCTGGGACTGCTTGATGAATCATCTGTACTTACTTCAGGGGCAGAACCTCCTAACCACTCCCATTGTGATCCCTGATGCTCCTCATAGACTGTTGTTGAAGCATCAGAGGTCGGTTTCTGAGGCACTGAGAGATGATCTAGAGATGATAGGAAGCTGGTATGGTCTTGGTCACTGTTATTATTCTTCAGCCCAAGTTCTCTAGGAGTATCAAGTCCGGAACTGCTCTCAGAACTTGAAATTGTAACATCAGATCCATTAGATGCCCGGCGGTTCCCATTCACGTCGCCATTGTAAGAAATGGTCTTATTAAAGGGCCCATCCTACAAATAATAGAAAAACAAAGCAAATTTGTATCGGTTGTTCTGAGTAGAAAACCAAGTGCCATAGTCACAGTACTACCACACTGTTGGAAATTTTCATATATTTCTTCAACTATGCTTATGTAAGAATTAAATAAATGCAACCACAGACCCTCTCTAGAGTAAGAAAACAAATTTTAGTTATTGACTAAGATGGATTAAAATCTTACTTCAATTAAATTGCTTTGGACACTTCCATTTGTATGACCATTGCTTAATTCTGTCTTCAAGCTTTTGTCCTGGGAACTGTTTTTTGCATTTTCACTTTCTTCAAGCTCTCTGCATAGAATCAGAGAAGGGAAATTTTACAATTAACTTTACTTGCCTGCAAGATTTGAAACCTTGAAAGATTAATGAAAAAAAAAAAAGTGATACTTAATTTTCACCTTTGATCAGCATTCTCTGGCATCCTTTGGATAGAAACCTATAGCAGAAGCAACGACTACATGTGAGAAATATCTATAGGCATAGACTACAGTAATATGCTTCAATAAGCGTTTGAATTTTGAAGACTAATAAAATTAGCAAGCAGGGGTTTTCAGAGGTCTTTGTATTTGAATTTCCAAAGAACTTTGCCATTTATGACAATTATAAATGTAGTGTGTGTTTGTGCACCCCCGGGCGTGTGTGTCAGAGAGAGAGACAGAACTAACATGCAAAACACCCTCAGATTTTGCATTTTTGAGGGGAAGAGACACAGAGGAAAGCTTAGTGGCCAAAGCATAATTTGCTAAATCAATAGAGACCTCTCCGAAAAGGCCAGATTTTGATGAGCCCTACAAAAATCCAAGAACACATGATATCAATTCACACAAACAAGTTATTTGGTAAGGAAACAAAGAATAGAAATTCATAGATTGTTGAAACATTTCATACATTTGACACCATAAAGTGGTAGATTCTCTCATGAATCTTCCCTGTTTTCAGCTCCCGAATGAACTTGACTGTTTCATAGACAGGATTCTCCCAATAGCAACTTCCATCTCGGACTGCTGCTTTCTCTAATCTCACCGTCGGTTTTCCAACATCCGCCGGAACCACAGATATCATCAATGCATCCCCTCCTAATTTTGGCACCTGAACACACCAACCCATGATCACAAAATTTCAATGTTTGGTTCCCAAGAAAATGCAAGAAAGGGGAAGAAAATAGTAGTTGTAGAACTTAAAAAAGTTTCACCAATCAAGTCACAAGGAAACACAAATCCCAGCTCCACTGAGCCTAACTCACCTATTTGGCATATAAATGATTTGTTTATAGCTATTTCATGTTTGACAATGCCTGGAAATAAATAAATAAATAAAAACACAAATTTAATTTCTTCTTTACTTTCTTTTCATTCCATTTCTCCACAAACAAACATAGGGTAGATTTCTAACTGCCCCATTACATTGCAGCTAATGATTTCTTCTACTTCCAATTCCACCAGTGTTGAAAATTTGATTTTCCAATACATTTTTTTATATATATAAATTGGATGACTATATGTATATAAAATATACACATACATATATTTATGCACAGACGATAACATTTGATTGGATTAGAGGAAATGTATCGAGTACCTGAGTTGCATGAAACTGCAATTTGAACACTGCGTGGATCTTGTTCTTCTCGCTCCTCCATCGCGCCGACTTGAACATCTTCGCTCTCGGCCTCAACCCCACGTCTTCTTTGTGGAATTCAAGGCTCGCCGGAGCTCGGCCGGAAAAATCCGTACCTCATCAGAGCTCCGGCGAACACGGCCAGAAAATCACCATTTCATGCGACGGATCACCAATGTTGTTGAATTGCGAGAGCCCAGTTTGAGATTAAACCAGTACAGCACCAAAAACTACAAATAGAGATTAAACTCGATACTGAGTTGACACAGTCGATCAATGCGAGCCCAACTCAGTGAAACATCAAAAATTTTGCAGAGGCCTTACATTGATTACTCGTGACTGAATTTAAAGAGCAGGGTATGGAACAAGCAGATCTAAAGACACTCTCTCTCTCTCTCCTTTGTCTCTCTCTATGTGTATATTTGTGTAACAGAGTGTCGTTGAAAAAGATAGGCGTGAGCTCATATTTCAGTAGTATTTAATTCATAATTAGAAAAAGGTAAAGGAAAAATAGACAAGATTACAGAAGAAGCTTCTTTGGGTAGGATTATGACAGTTACATGGATATTAGTGAACACTAATGTTTTTAATGTATTCACTACTTTTTAGCTCTACTTTATACATAACACATCTTAGTCGAAGCACTGTGTAATTTATAATACACACACATTTATTGTCATAATTTTTATTTTTATCATTATCTTGTTAAACCAATGAGATCGCCCCTCACATAATTTTTTAAATCCGTCTCTAACTTATTATTCATTATTATTATATTTGTTACGAGTTGTCGTAGCATGTATAATTTTTTTACCATTATATATTTTGTTTTAGCCTTACTAATTTTGACCAAGTTTGTAATTTTGATCCCAAACAATATTAATTTAAAGGATACCCACTCTATATCGACATAAATTTCCATACATCATCCCCAAATTTATTTGGAATATTCATGGCACCAAATAATTCTTTAAAATTGATTAACTTTTGACAAATGTACACCTATATATATATATACACACACACACACATAATTCATATCACATTTATCTGTTTCAAGATCTAAGGTCTAATCTCAATGTTGATGAGATAGGAGTTCCAAAGGGATGTAAAATGAACTTCAAAAGCTCAAATGAGGATTATATTGGCATTTTAAAAAAAGAAAGTGGATTTTTTGGTGACAAAATTTGCTGATAACTGACGCCAGGCCTGGCAAGCAAAAAGAGGATGCCAATAAAAGTCAGCTCTGACCACAACAAAACCGAGGCTACCTAATTGATATTTTATATTTCTATGGGTGATTATTTTATCTTCCGAAAATGACCCTTCTACCATAAAATTTCCTCTTTAGCCTCTTATTTGTACTCATTATATAATTTATATATATAGATATTGATACCAGACATATCTTTGTGATATGTCTGTTGGTACTGGGTAGTAAACGTACATCAGCAGCTTATAATTAAATAATTATTCACGGTTGATACAATTTTGTTTTCTTTTTTATAAGCGTTCCAATTAAGAAAGCCCCATTAAGGTTTTTATAAGTTTTTAACATTACATGTATTCAGTTGTTTTTCCTAAATATATATATATATATGAATTTTTTTACTTCAGATAACAAACTCATTAATTCATCAATCATCTTAAATACGATATGCGAAATATATGGTTACTGTTACATTAATGTTGTAGTACTTTCTCCACTCACTTATTACATAATTAAGGCCTCCAATGCAGTAAGCAAAATGCTTTTGGACCCTGTCAATTACATAATATTTCAACACAACATTTACTATTAAAGTTTAATGTTGGGACCGACACTTGGCACGAAACCCTCAATTGATTGAACCATTGATGTACCATTAATCAATGCCACACACACACATATATATATGTATGTTAACAACCATACATTAGTTACTTAATTACCCAAAAATATAATTAAAAAAAAGAAGAAAATTATAACTAAATTGAAGTCAAAATAAGGACAAGATAATTCCTTACGGCCACGTTCGCAGATATAATTTAAACTTTATTTACAAGTTTTATGGATTAATCGGGCAAAATCGCGAACACCATAATTATATATATATATATATATATATATATATATATATATATATATGAAAATAGCTTTAATATATAGAAATATTTTATTACTTAATATTTTTCTTTTTTACTCTTGTTCTTTAAGGTAGGTTGAGCTCCCTAACATTATGATGTTGCAGCAAAAATGTATTCATGTCTTTATTCGTAATGATTGAAACAAATATTGCGAATGGACATGGACTAGATAACGATTCCGTAATTATGACAAAAATATATAAAAGAAATATATATATATATATATATATATATATATATGCATTAATACTTATGCCTTTAATAATATAAAAGTTATTGGCTATTGTATAAAGTATTGGCAATTTAAATGAGGGTAAGCTGGGTTTGAAACTTTGAATGTTAGTAATGCTGAAGTATAAAGCCCCTGTTATATGTTGCATTGTTACTATAATGCGCTCTATCGGTTACGGTCGCGGTGTAATAAATTTGGATAAAGTCAGTGTAAACTGACCGATACAAATCGCGTATCAAATTTAAAAAAGATCGAGCAAACCATAATTGCTACAAAGCCTACAATTGACAAATAAGTTGAGTTTTGTAAGATTATACTTAACTATTCAAATTTTATTGGTACAATAATTTAATAAAATCATCAATAAAATGGTGCAAAAAATTGGAGGAATCTGTTGTCTCTTTGTCGTGAACCACAATCTTTTTCTTTTTTTTTTTCGAAATATTAAACAACTGATATAAATAAATATAATAATTACAGGTAGGTCTTTGGCCAAAGTAGCCCAGATAGGCAATCAGATTCTTTGTTGATAATATAAGACATGTATAACAGTCTCATGCATTAATATATATATATTCAACACCTGCCGTCTGGTAAGGTATATTAGGTGGTAAAAGTATATTTATTTATTTAATCATTTTCACTAAAAACAGAGCTAATGTGTATATATTGGTAGTACATTCTTCACCACGTGACAGGTTAAATAGTAGCCTAAACAATTATATGTATATATATATACACTGTGTGTGTGTGTATATATATATATCACGTTTGTACGTAAGATTTAAGTTAGAGTGAGATGGGTTAGTTTTAATTATGTGTTAAGGGATTAGGTGATTGATGGAAGATGAAGACTGTGTATGAGGAGGACGGTAAAGGTGGTTGTTTCTTTCAACCTTACTTGGCTTTAAAGCTGCTCCTACATTGAGCGTGAGGTAGCTAGCCTGCTTAACCACAGTTAGTCAATAATTCACGTGAATTTAAGCGTGTGTCTGCAGTCACTAAAAATACGTACCAGACACATACATTATACATACATATATATCTATATATGTATATGTATATGTATGTATCACTATCTGTTGCTGTTACAATTGGTAAAGACAGTAGTGTGGCCTGACACCAAAGGTCCCTAAATCAAACTTTTTTACAAAACTCCAAGTGACAACCAAACTGCCCTTAAAAATGGGGGCCCACAAACAATTCCTATTAACTGGAGGGACTCCATAGATAGAGTGTGGTCTTCTTCAACCTCCGTTTAGTAGAAGCAATTGATGAACCAGAAAAAAACATAGTTGGACCACACACTCTTAATTCATCCACCTCCCCCGCAGTAGGGCTTTAATAGTGACAAAACAAATTCATGTGTTTGTGGGCTCACTAGCTTGGTGGAATTGAAGTGGATATACTTGTTTTGAGGCTCCGTGTGCTAATCTCCCACAAGCCCACCAAGGAGGGAGGCCAGGTCTAAGCTGGCTTCAATGAGAAGGCCCACTGTGCTTTTTCCACCATAATGAATTACAAAATATTGATACATTGTATCATATATCTTCATTCTATCATGTGTCCTAGATCTATCAGGACAGACCATAGGTTCATAACATCAAGTCCCACCACGCTCTTTTACCCATTAATGGATTGTTTATATTAATATTTCAAAAAAGGTATTTACACTCAAAAACCTCTTACAACCCCAAAACTAGGAAAAGAGGTGGACATAAATTGCACTAATGAAATGAATGGGAAGAATCCATAAAGGATTGTTTGTAGCCATAGTTTTTAGGAGGATGTGTGTAACAGCTGACTGTGCGTCTCCCTCATTCAAATTCAATGTGAGACAAGAATCCTTTACAATTTTTCTCTATCAAAACTCGTAATACCGAATTCGAATCAAGATTTAGGTCTGTTCTGATATCATTTGTAAAACGCTAGAAATTTGTTATATGATCAAAAATTTTAAACTATGATTGGCTGCTATTGCATACGTGTCTTTATAAGCCCAAAACCCCTCCTCATTTGGATCCAAAGTGGAATGAACATTTTGTTTGTACTCGTAGAACAAAAAAAGGGAGATTAAAAAATAAAAAATAAATGTTATATATAAGGTAATGCTTAGCTAGGCTTGTTAACATCTTTGTCCCATACTACCCTTCTAGGGCTGACTTGAGGGGATAACTTGGTGATAATGCAAAAAAAAATTATAGTTTGGAGGAAGGCCTCCATCTTCAGTGAAATTATGTGTGTGATGATGTTATATATGGGCAGATAAGAAGATGATCGATCATTATTCATCACTAGATGGTCCCCTTTAACCTTCCCAACTTTAATTTCTCATGAGAGGGACCCTTAATCCAATTGTTCATCGATCATTACTTTTACTTTTCAACCTCCTTTGTCATGTATTACATATATATACATATATATATATATATAGAGAGGCTTATCACTTCTTAGTTTTCATGGTAATTAAGTATACTTTTAACCATCAATTTGCATAAAAAAAAGAAGGCTTTTCAGGTAATAATTAAATCTATCATCATGGGTGATTTGCTAGGAAAGTACGTAAGGGGGCATAATAATTTGTTGTTTCACCAAATCTTGGAGATTGGAACTGAATAAATTGATATAAATTTAAACTTTTTCATTAAAAATTACTAAAAAAAACACACATATGAAAACCAACTAAAGATTTGTATAATATAGAGTCACTTGAATAGTTGATTTCTCGATACCCTGCAAAATCATGACAACGAGTTAATTAAGGAAAAAATTAGATATCTACAAAATCCATACCCAACCCAACTACAGAACACCATAAACCATCACATATGTCGTAATATATGTTGATGATCAACATCTTAATGAGGTACAAACTCAACCTAATTCACTTACCATCCGAGCTAAACCTCGTTAGTAGGTGAAATGCATATGTTGCAATTAGTTTTGAAGATTTTCATCGTACAATAATAACTTGCAGAAGATTCCCAAATCAGAGAACCTTATCGGGATTTTCACACCTCATGCTGACATGCACACACACATATACTATATATATTTATTTTATGCGGACAAAAAATTTACACATCTTCTTTATTTCCATGAAGACTTAAACCATCATCTTTCTACGTTGTCCAGTAAAAAAACATAAGATCGGGTTAAAATGCGGGGTGGTAAACCTTGCATAATTATTAGGATAGAAGAGTTGGTTGTTTAGATAAAGAAAAATTACAAACACATGAATTTTTGGACCATTATTAATTATTCATGGAGTTAAATTCATTAAGTTTTGAAAAAATGAATTTACTAAAAACGTTGGTATGAACTTGAAAAAAAAAAAAATACTATTTTAACTATCAGTGATCAAAAAATAAAATTAAATTAAATTTGATCACCGGTCATCAAAATGGTCTACACAAAAAATGGTACTAACGGTATACAAAAATTTTACATCTATGCACACAAAATGGTACCACTTTTGTACGCAGATGTATCACTTTTGTACAAGTATTTTGATTTTTGTGTTGACCACTTTGACAACTATTGATCAAATTTTGATTCATTTGATCACTAGTTATCGAATATAGTAAGATAGTATGGACACTTCAATAAATAAAATGAACAGTAATTTTCTATGTAACCAAATTAATTGTTTTTGAAACTTCATGACTTCAATTCAATGAAATCGTAAATAGTGGTTTAATAGTACATGTATTTGTAATTTTTCATTTATATAAATCTGTCCAAAAGCTAGAACTTGGAATGCTAGAATCCTGATAGATTAGTGCGCCACACAAATAATCAATACATGAATTTTTCATATTCTCAACCTAGGGTTACTTCATTCTCATATATACAAATTTAATTATTATTTGTTGAAGAAATATGTTCCTCTACATGAATTTTTATTGGAATATTAAGAAAAAATACAGACGTGACACCTTGATATATTGAATTAATTAAAAAGAAAAGGATAAAAGATAATTAGTCATTTGATTTGATTTGTTTTTGTCACGAGAAGATGATATCTTTATCTTCACATGTCCAAACTTTATCAAATTTTGGTCACATGATTGCATAACAAATAAAGTTAAAAAGAGAGATAGCTTGTAGAAGAAAATAAAAAACAAGAAAAGATGATGATGAAGGATAGCTTTAGCTAGTCCAAACAAGAGAGAAAATCATGAATGCTATGGTGCACTCACAGGAGACAACAGAAGGTGGTCACGTGAAGGTGGTCGACCCCATGCATGCACACACATTAATCATCATCACTAGGCTGCACATTATCACACACACACACACACACACACACACACAGACACACACACACTTTTATATATGTATATGTATATGGGGTGGTCCAAGAACTTTAGAAATTAGAACCAATCATCATTCACAACCATCATTAGGTTTGCCTATTTGTTACTTAAAAGTAGCTCATCCCTGCTGGAAAAATGGTTGAAATTGAGAAGAATAGGATGCAAAGATATGTATCTTCTAACAAGTGCCAAGAAAGAAAAGGTCACGTGCTACACAGCCATAAAAGAAAAGTCCAAAGCCCACTCATGTGACCAAAACTCTCTAGCTCCCTCTCTTGTCCAACATATTAAGGGTTGAGCTTTACCAAGGACATCCTCAGCAATGGCAAATCTTTATTTATTTATTTATTTTTTTTTTTTTCGTGGTAGTGTGAAGCTTTTTAGAATATTTTATGATTCATTATCGAGTACAATCACATCAAAAATTTCTCTAATCTTCATTAGATTTTTCCTTTGAACAAAAAATCATTACTCATTCGTCTAACCCTGATTGAAATTGATGTAGAAACATGATTGGTTTGATTTGGTTAGTGAGACGAAACAATGATTATGAGAATTTTGTAATCTTGCCAATTGTGTAGCATGAAGGTCATGGAGAGAAATTAATGGCCTGATTAGACCACACAAACAAACATCAAGATTGATCTATTTAATTACTATATTGTATACTTTTTTCTTTTCTTTTTTATTTATTTATCAATACACATGTAATCTTTGCCAATTATTTTGTTCGTCCTTTTCAAAACTATATATATATATATATTAATATATATATTCCATGGTCAGATTGGTCATATTATATCATATAAAACTCATGACTGTGATGACAATAAGTTGCTTGGGCCTAAAATACTTCTCACTCAGTCCAAGCTAGATATTGGCCCAAAAGGAGAAGATTTGTTAGGATACGGCCTACTTTGTTAGTAAATGGGACTCGGCCCAATTAGTGTGTTTAACCACAGTCCACTAACTTGGGATTCAAGAATTATTCTATATTGAAATAAATTCATAATCCAAGAGTTATTTCCAAATATATATATATGTATAGCTAATAATTTGAAAGAAAAAAAAAAAAAAAAAAAAAAACGAAAGATATTTCAAATAAGAAAGTGAGAAATGGAGGGCGATTCTTCTTCCTTGAGCTCAGTCTCACAAGAATTTTTTTCTGAATTAAAATTGGTGCGTGACATTGGGCCTACCACGTGCTTAGAGGGTATTAATCTAACTCAAAGAATGGGACATTCATTTAGTCATGGAAATAAATGTCAGGTTTGTGTCGAGAAACTCTAAAACTTGAGTTGAAATTCTAAAATATACCGCTAATTTAAGTTAAAAATATTAATTTATGTAATTATTTATTAGGTGGTCTCGAACAATCAGGAAATGTCATGGAATCAAAAATCAAAATCAAGTCGACACATTTAGTAGTATGGCATCTGTACGTCGATTGGCCAACACTACCTAATAATTTCTCCCAAATACAATGGAATGCATATGATCTGACATAAACCTATATCGCATGTATCTGACACTTACCTCTTGTAAAAATTAATATTAAGCGCAGAACCATTTGAAATTTCATCTCCATGATCAAAGACAATGTGAAATGTCCAGAGCCTGTTATGTATAATTTGTATAACGCATGGGTTGTCGACAAAAGGAATATATCAAACCAATCTAGCCACTATTGAGCATGATTGTTTATTATATATGCATATATTTATTTGGTAGTACTAATTAATTAAGCAATCTCATTCCAACAAAAACATAGGATACAGTAGGCTTAGACCAAATCTCAACAGATCTCCATATTAATTTTAGTGTTTGGACCATCAAAGCAAACCGTATAATAACCTCACAACAATAGATGAATTGATTAATCAACGACAAAGATTAAAATATATATATAACACAAATTGCCAAACCTAAGGGACAAGATCAGTATACAACTACTGATCTGCTTGCATATGTCATGCCAAAACGTAGTAGTTATATATTTATATGTTTGTGTGTATGTGTATAACCTAGTGATTGAGATTATCAATATTCCATGCATGTAAAGATGACCACTACTGTCACAGTGAACACCATTATTTGCTAGGAATTTAAGAGTAAAAATATATAAGTTTATTACAGTACTTTAATTTTTCTACTCGGTACATTGTTAAATTTTGAGAAAGCAAACATTCTCAATTCGATTCTGCTTACCTACTCTCACAGTCTTCTTCTTCTACTTATAAAATTGGCATATGTAATTATATTCGATATCTATTGTATGAATGGTAAACTAAGCATATTTTTCTACCTCAACAAAATACAAAACTGCTCTTAGCTAGAAAACTCACCAAACAAGCTAAGGTGTCTTATTTTTAGAGAAATACTACGGGTTTCCACATTATTTTATTTTTAATGTTATAAAGGGCATGTATTTGGTTAATATGATGACACATTAGAAAATGTTCCATTTTTTATGTAAGAAAACAATATTTTTATTTTATTTATAAAATAAAGTTCCATATTTGTTAATTATATGCCTAGTAAATTAATACCACTTTACTTCGCCCACATGATTTGGGAATGAAACCATAACAACACTACAAAAAATATGATCAAGAAATTGTCAGCCGGCCCACGCAGGCTGGCCGGCCTACCTTATATAGTCCCCTAACCCTATATATATTTTCATCACATATCACTCTCACTCTTCACTATCATATATCAATGCTCTAAGTGAAGCTTCAAATTGTTCTATTCATTTCATCACAACAATCCCTTTTAATTAATTTCTCTCCATATATACATACATGTGTATATTATCATTAGTTAGATTCAAAAGAATTCTATTGAAGATTAAAATCCAAAATTCAAAAGTGTGTTCTTAATATATTCTTCTCCTTATCAGTTTCGAAACCTTAACTTAGAAGTTGTTGAGACGAAGGTAGATCCGCGCGTGTTTTGAATACCATCTTATATTGAGAAAATGAGGCAAGCTGGAATGTATTCAGGGATGGTATCTGGAGGAGGGATATGTGGGAGGACGGGACCGCACTCGTTGCCGTTGGCCAGGATCAAGAAGATCATGAAGAAATCAAATGATGATGTGAAGATGATATCTGGGGAGGCCCCCATTGTGTTCTCCAAGGCTTGTGAGTTGTTTATAGAGGAGATTACAAAGAGGTCTTGGAGGATGGCCATGCAAGCCAAGAGGAGGACACTTCACAAAGAAGATGTTGCTTCTGCTGTTGCAGCCACTGATGTCTTTGACTTTCTTCTCAACCTGGTTTCTGATCATCATCATCTTTCCACTACTAACACTACTCAAGAAGATGCTTAATGGAAGCATAAGAATTGGAGATTTCTCTCCTCTCTCTATCAATCCTCGAACCCTAGACCACCAATTTCTCTCTCTATATATATAATGTAACTTCTGCCTGCCCTCTGTAGACTTCTCCAAACGTTTTACAATCATCAGCTAAAAGCATTATCCATATATATATTGACAAGTTAATTTCTTGCTATTAGACCTTGTTGCACTAAAAAACCTATTTTCACAAGCATTTATTAGGCCAATTATCATATATATATAATTTCTCTCTCTCTATATATAATGTAACTTTTGCATGCTTGGCTATATATACGATTGATTTGAAGAAAATCACATAGAAGTGCTTGCCACGCATAAATAGATGTTTGTAGTTTACCATTTCAAATTTTCTTTTCTTTTATTTTGTTTTTATTAAGTGTGATATGGCGAAATCCTTTTCGTGTGATGAGAGAATCAAGTTCGTTCATCAAAACAGCCTCGTTTTGGTTATACATGTGCTTGTACATCAAAATAGCATTGTTTTGGTGCACAAGACACACTTTACTTTACCCCTTTGCGTTAAATTTGAAAATATTATTTTCCTTGATTAAATAACATACATTAACTTTCAAAAAAAATTCACCATACACATTTTAACATACTTAATGTACCAATTATACCAAAAGAATTATCGTGATGACATGGAGTATATTGTATATATCAATAACAAAAATTGAAATTGACTTGGTTAAATGACCTTAGCCTTGGGGATTAATTTTTACCAAATTTTGTCACAATTGAATTTCAATTCTTAGAGTTACTGAAAGTATCATAATTTCATTTCCTTTGGAATTACTGAGACTGTCATTGTTCCGTGACTTAACCAATTGCTCAACTTAAATCAAATGTCAGAATTGAACACCTGTGCCGAAGATCCAATTAGTCCTTAATTTATTGTCATACAACTGAAATCAAGGGATGATTGTAATGTCGTCGGAAGTATTCTTTTGTCCATTATTAAACCAGAATTAATTCAAGTAAAAAAAAAAAAAAATTCTTTGTATATATATGAAAGACAAGAAGATTGTTGACCAAAATTTCATAAACCCACAACAAACCAAAATATAAATAAATATATATATATATATATATATATATATATATATATATATGGAAATAGTGACGTGGTAAATTGTAGAGTAAAATATGTTCCCTTATCAATTTAGTCCAGCTAAAAAAATCAATTTTAGTCACCTTTTATTTTTCTTGAGAATCGTTTTCCTGCTTCAATATATAAGCCCACTTTTTATTTTGAGAATCATAATCCAACACTATGAGCCCACAGCCCACTTATTTGTGCCATTTGGACACAAATGTACAATTTTCAAGCCCAATCCCAAATAAAAAGTGTTAAACGGCAATTTGTGGTTTTATGTAGCGGAAGATATTTGTGGAAAGTTTAAGTTTTTAAGGAAAAGATTAAAATTTGTATCTTTCTCTCTTAATCAGGTTTACTTAATTTAGTAATTAATCAATTAATCATATACAAAATAAAAGTAAATAAAGCAAATAGAAGCAAATAGAGTTTGAGAGATGATATCAGGTTTTTTAGTAAGGAAATCCCAATTGATAAAATAGACCAATTGTTGTGGGAAAAACCTCATGGACTATGTAGTCCAAAGTAAACTGATCCATTATATTTGAAACAAAGTACAATGGATTTTAACTCTATCTCACACCCTATCGTTCTACCAAACACTAATTGCTGACAATCTTCTAGCTTTGCGGTGTCCCGTCTAACAGCTCTTAACCTCAAGTTTACTCTTAATCTCTGTAGAGGGATTGCTGGTAGATCAAACAACACTCCTCGAATGCTTTGACCCTTCCAAAGTGTGATCGCTTCACCCTATTCTTCAAGATCTGAACTTTGAAGTAAAAGAAATAGATCTGCTTCTCTGATCATTGTAGATGCAATATTCAATGAATTTTGAACACGATTAGGAATTGAACAAACACTCTAAACTTACTCTTGTGTTTATATGTATGTTCTAGAAATAAAGACAGAAAATCATATTTAATTTTCTGCAAACTAGCTCTTAAATAGGCTTTTCAAGAATCAGAAAATGTAATGCAAAAGCCATACTAACCTAGATGTAAATCAAGGTTTATATAGACTCTTCAAAGACCTATATATGCATAGAAAAAAGTAAATTTTGTGCATGGGACTTTTAGAAAGAATTCTTTATCAAATAGGAAGTTTAGACAGAACAGGAAACTACTACCTAATTAAACTGTATTAGCAAGTGTAACCGGTTCCCAAAGGACAAAAAGTTTCCTTCGACCCAAAGAATCTTGAACCAGTAGCCAAAGTCAGTACGGGTTCCCACATGACAAAATTGAATATAAAAAGTAAAACCAGCTTGAAAAATTTTTGTTTTGGAAACTTTAAAAAAAGTACCATGTATGTATAGTGTCCTAAGTGGAAAACAACTTCCTAAAGTGTTGTTCATACCTTTTTCGTAGATCATTGTACATATCAAACTTGAACAACTTTCTAATTCCATAACCGATCTCGATCTTGATTTGTTAACTTGAAAATTATAACTCGATCAGACTTGTTTTGACACCAAAATTAGCCAATTACAAAAATTATATCTCACATAATTAGTCGAAAGCTAAACAGACCAATGAAGTGATTATACACACAATATATATATATATATATATATATACACACACACATATATATATATATAATTATCGTTATATATACATAAATTTTTGCGTTCAGTATCACAGTACCACCGCAACACTGGCGCACTCTTTTTCACAAAGAGAAGATGAGGGTTCAACAGACAAATATTGTTTGAATAATATTGAATTTGACAACTGGATGTTTCTTTATAGGTATTAAATTCTAAGTCCATTCATAGACGGGGATGGTTCATCAACAGGTTTACGAAAGTGTCTCAAACTTGTCGCCCAAAATCAATTGACAAGGCCTAAGAGCATGCGCATCAGTCACTCCGAATTTTTACTTTCTAAAAATACCATTTTAGTCCTTTCAAAAACCACATTAACAATTCTCAAAGTCACGTTAGCAACTTTGGCTCTCCAGTTATGAAGTATGGACATGGACACAGACGCTGATACGGGACACCGACGACACGGATACGACAATACAACAAATTTTTTTAAAAAAATAGGACACGGATATTGCAATAAAATAAAATATATATTTTTATTATATATAAATTTTTATTTTTCTTTTTATTTAAATTAGGCTAATCAAATAATTAATCCCTGCTACTCTTATCAAACATAAAAATCAATGGTTCAAATTTTATTAAAATATTAGTTCATATAGTTGAATAAGCTATCCTTATAACCAAACATATATGTTTTTTAATTTATTTGTTTTTTTATCACACCTTCTAAGATGATAAGATAACAATCTCGATCCTATCCCCTTTTTCTCTCCACACGTGGTTCACTTCTTTCTTCATCTTCTACTCTGCCTCTCTTCCTTTCTATGTCATTCAGTTAAGCCAAGAAATCTGATGAAGCTTTGGATGGAAAATAAGAGGTAGTTCCTCTTTTTCGCCGGTAAAGCCCAACACCCACAGAAAATCTTGCTCTTTGTTCTTTTTCTTTTTTCTTTTTTTCCCTTGTGGTTGCTCTGTCATTCCTTCAATCTCTTCATCTTAATTTTTTAGATTTCTACATTAGTCATTTCACTTAATAGATCTCAGTGAATGAATACACATGCATATATACATATGTATATATACACACACCCCTTCATTCTCTCTTTTTCTTTTCAAAAAATAAAAAATAAAACCGAACATGCGTGTCTTCGGTGTGACCTCAGCGTGTCGCTGACGTGTCTGACTTATCCTTTGCCGTGTTCGACCTTGAAAAAAATAATAAAAAATTAAACACGTGTCCGACACGGGCATCAAACCGAACATGCGTGCTTCATAGCTCTCCAAAAACGGACACTCATCAAACTCTCCGGACTTTTGTTCTCAAAAAATAATAATAATAATAATAATTTATTTATTTTTAACTTTTTCATAATAACAGTAATATTTTTCAATCAAATAATATCATTGCAAATAATTAAAAACAACCAAATGCACTGTTTGTGGTAGATTTTTAAAAAATAAAGCAAAAAAAGTTTTAAAAAAATCAAATTTAAAAGGGAAAAAAAAAGGTTTTTAAATTTATTTTGGCCCAAGTCAAAAAAATTTGAACAAAAAGTGCTTAAACAATATATTTTTTATTTTATTTTATTTTTCTCCAAAAAACCACTTATGCCGAACAGTGCCTTTCAGCTGACAATTTTTTAAAAATACAGCTGCTCACATTTTGGCGTCGCCGTTTCCGTTAAACAAAAAAATAAAAAAAAATAAAAAAAATCACGATGGGGCTCGAGCTCGCGCTTTTCTGTGAGCCAGCTCGCTAGCCGTTGTGGGTCAACTCCATTTCCGCTAGGCCGATGCATTGCAAACTTGATCTTTCTTTAGCCAAACCCAAGTTTGACTAATCCAGTGCGGATGCTCTAAAAACTTGTCTAATCTCAAAACTCCACACTATGACTGACCACCCTTTACCTTGCAAAACCTTTTAGCTAATGACCTCATACATTGGGATTGCTCACCAACAAACAAAAAAGTACTTGCTCAAAAATTTACCATCACAGCCATATCTCAACCTCTCCCTAACAAACTGTTTGGCACAAGCTGGACTGGGGTTCAAGCATTTAATGTTTCCCAAAACATTCATTTTGCCTCTGGGTGGCTATTCAGGAAAGACCATCAACTCTTGACAAGCATTCAATGGATTACATGATGCAACCAAATGTGTGTGCATTGTGCTTAAGTGATGTAGAGAGTTATAAACACATTTTTCATCAATTTTCATACTCGAAAGTAATATGGAATGGGATACAACATAAATGTGGGTTTTATACAAGCCCTAGTTCTTGGCAAGAGTTCGTGTTTGCAAAATTTTTACTTGGAAGTTAA